ATGTCTATTTTTTTTTGCGAGTGATATCGTTATTGTACGACTGGCATGTACTTTCTGAAAGGGAAAACATTAACAACACTATTTGGGACAGGTTTTGATCGCTTGACCCATAATCCCTTTTCAGGTAGAGAATTGCAACATTAACGCTTAAAAGATTCCATCATCGCCGGGTTTTGCGCTCGTATTTGACTAGTAGCCTCTTGGAAGTCTAAACACTCTCCGTCTTCTCCTCCTGCTGTTTCTTTCACTCCAGCTTGGCCCAGTGAATCGATCAATTGACCACCTTACAATATTGTAACAAACAAATTACTATTGAAATACTTTGACATTTGGCATTAAGAGGGGCTTAAGATGGTCGCGCAAAATATTTGCACATTGCCCTAACCTGAGGTAACTGACCTGGGCTCACCTTCGGATCAGACTTACCTAACACTCCGTGGCTGCTCGATCCTTGAACGCTTCCAATTTACCTACTGGTATCAGCATGGTAAATTACGAATACAGGATCAACACGTCATATTTCAGACGTTGATTTGATTTGCCCCTATAATTGTCACGAAATTTGTTACTCAGATGGTCTTGCAAGATCTCTGCGTCTGACAGTTAACGTGTCTACTACAACTTTTATGTTCCCCCTCTCGAGCTTTGATCATACCTGGGACCTCGTACAGGAAAAGGTCTGTTCAAATAAGAAAAAAAAACAAACAAACAAATAGAATCCCTTGGCATCCCCGTTATAGAAACTTCTAGACAAAGCAACAAAGGTTGCTTTAAATGAATTATGTACATACATCAGGTCCGCTATAGGAGCAGCTGAATATTGTGCGTCGCCGACTCTTATTAGAATTGATGCTAGGTATCAAAATTAGTATTATTGGTAAAAAACGCCGTGTTAGCCGCTTAAGGCTCTCGTTTTTCAGAGTGCAAAAGTGTTCAATATCAACGAGGTGGTCTCACATCATTAAAACGCAGCCAGGAGTTCTTCCTGTTAGAATTTTTGACGTTCAAGAATATCTGTGTCGTTGTTGCTTTCTTGTTGATTTTCAATCAACTGATTGAACTCTATCAGTTCAGAAATATGCCACCGGGACTTCGTTTGTCAAGTTTGCCGTTGATCGGAAATTTTATGAGCTCTGATTAAGGAGAAAGTTTTGGTGAAATAACAGCCAGGTTTGTTTACGATTATAATCCCTCTGGAGCATTTATCATTGTTAACTACTCCAGCTGATTTTTCCAATCATTTTCAGTTCTGTCCGCTAACAGCTCTTTGAATTAAAATTTTAACCATTTCTATGTCTTCTTTATTGTTTTTAGCTACATATTCACTTGTTTCACTTTCTTGATACTCCTCTTCCTCACCGTATTGTAAGGTCTTTGAAATTGTTGCGGATTCTTTTGCAAACAGTAGGACAGACAAAATGGGTCCTTTACAAGAGAGCTGAATAAAATTTGTCGACTGAATCAGAAAACACTAAACAAAGGATAATCCTTTCATGCATATAAGTACTCATTGAATTGTGTGGCGGTCGTCATGAAGCTTCGCAAAGGAATTAACTAACGCAGGCATTAAGCAAATTTCGGCTCGTCACAGATACTGGTAATTATTTTTTTTGAGGTGAAAGTTTCCTCTTCTACACTGTGTACAAAAGTTTTCATTCTTGTGAGCAATTTTATCCCTATTTTCTTCTTAATTTTTCAACGTGACAGTCTCAAAGGTGACCTCAAAAGTGTCCAATTTATCAGACATCTGGTACACAAGTCAAGCACCACAAGTAACGCTTTATTTCACGTCTTGTAAAGCTAATTTTTTTATATATCTCAGAATGTTCTGTTAACCAAACGGTATTCTATGATTTCTATGAAGTTCCCTTAACGAGTTATGATTTTTTCCAAAATAAAACTTACACGTAGCAGAAGTTCCGCAAACATTCGCAATTTTGATCGTAACTCAAAAACAGCTGCTGGACGTGTGTTGTGATGAACGGACTATCATAATCACTAGGCGCGTGTTCAGTCTCACCTCATTTTCACCTTACAAAAACCTGATTTAAATCTGCTCTTTTGAAATCGCCTTTCGAGATTATGCACACTCATTTACGATTACGAAGTCAGTTCTGGTGCTCCATGCCTTAATCGAACGATGACGTCAGTCCCAAGTAAAACAGAAAATAATGTATGTTTATTATTCAGTTCCGGCATTGAAACAATTCAGTCGACCATATTATGCGTGGGCTGTCTCCGTGATGACTTAATACGTCGTTTTTATTTCTCAAGCACTATTGGTTGGGAGAATGGCATGAGAGTCGTTTGACAATCTCGTGATTTAGAGAACAAACGTTTTTAAGATAGACGAGTTTTGCTATCTTTCATCATTCATCCCAAGCCATGGAGTTGTTGCTGTCGGAATATCTGACCTTCGGGAATATTGTTTTCGCTGTCGTTTTGTTACTGATTCTCAATCAACTGATTGAGCTTTATCAGTTTAGAAGCATGCCACCGGGACCTCGTTTGACAAGCTTGCCGTTAGTAGGAAATTTGATGAGCTTTGATTCAGGGGAAAGTTTCAGTGAAGTAACAGCAAGGTTTGTTTATGCTGTAATAATCACTTTAGCGCTTCAAAGTAGGTAACTGCCTTATTTACCTCTCAAATTTTTTTACCAACTAACCACTGTCTAGCTACATCTGCTTGCTTGATAGTCGTTTACTTTAAAATGCAAAAATCGAGCCGTTTTCTGGTCTTTTATTAATTTATTTTGATTAGTTTTAACTGGGTCCTTCGCAGGCGAGTGACGTCATTGTAATACACTGAACAAATGATCTGTTATCCTTTCTTGCATATTAGTTAAGTTGATATGGTTAATCGGTCGTCACACAACACACAGCTCACACACTGTATTGCTTCACTAGGTAGTTTCTTGATTTCCACCTCCTTTTTTGCCTTTCTTAAACCTTAAATATTCCATTTCTTTGCAGCATGAGGGAAAAATACGGCACAGTATATTCTATGAAGGTTGGAAGTTTCAAACTCGTAGTTGCCGAAGATCCAGCATCTGTGAAGGAAGTACTCGTCAAAAAATCGGCTGATTATGCTGGAAGACCTCCGTTTCACAGCTATATGATAGAAACACTTGGTAAATTGTTCAACTTACAGATTTTTTTCTTCTTAACTACAAATGTTTATTACAAGATCAATCACCCATGTTTATTTGTTTCCTTGCCGTGTTTGTTTATAGCTGTCGCTGAGCTATATTAGTAGTAAAAACGACAGATACCGCGTCATGCGAGCTTAAATGGTTCAAGCAGGATGAGTTTTTCGTGCAGTAACGATACTAGATCTCATTAGTTATTCCCCTTAATTGTTGTTTGCCATACAGTTCTTTGGGTATTATAATTGAATAATTTGGTATCGGATCAATGATAATCTCCTATTTGGCATATTATCTTTCTTTATTCCCATTACATTTCTGCTTGGTATTGTTGGGAAAAATTCTGTCTCGGTCACCCTTGGGAGTCAAAGGGTTAAATACGCTAATAAGAGTTGTGTCAACTGTTGTTATTTTACAAACTTGTAAAACAAGATGCTTAATTTTAAGCGCGGCACAAAGCGCCTCCTTGTACGTATCCGAATGACAAAACACAACTATTTCATCCTTGGAGTAATGGTGCTAGTCTGTTTAAATGCATTAAACAGAGTAGCGCCATATGCTAATTCACCAAGAACTTGTAAAATTAAGAGATACTTTCGTTTAGAATTTCTCTTCACGGCTTTATGACTCTCTACAGGTGGAAAGGATATTGGTTTGGGAAACTATGGTCCAGCTTGGAGATTTCATCGTAAGCTCTTTATGACGGCTGTCAGGCAGTACTTGTCCGATCAAAAATTGGTGGAAGATAGGATCTCAGAGCAGGTGATAAGGCTTATGCAGTACTTTGAGGATCAAAATGGAAATGACTTCGACCCTGGAAAGATTTTCATGGAGAGCGTCGCAAATGTGATATGTCGAATCACATTCGGAAAGCACTTCGACTCGTCTCATCCAGATTTTGAGGAACTCTTGCAGTTGAATAACGAGGCTTTTACCGACATTGAAGCAAGCAATCAAATTTTTGTCTTAGATTTCTTTCCGATTGCAAAGTACCTTCCATTTCGTGCCTACAAATTAGTGCAGAAAAGTACGGACCGAATCTTTGAAATTCTCCGCCAGCAGTTAAAGATTCAGGAAAATGAGTTCGACCCCAACGCGGAGATCGGAAGTCTCGTCGAAAGTCTTCTGAAAGAGAGGATTGCTGCTGCGAATGAGGTTGGTGCGGAGGAGAGAGCATCCATCCTATCAGACGACTACATGATCAATACCATGGGAGACATGTTTAGTGCTGGCTATGAGACCACTAGTACGACCCTACGTTGGGCCATTGCCTACCTTGTCCACCATCCTGAATGCCAGAGGGATGTACAGAGTCAGCTGGACGACGTTGTTGGAAGAGATCGCATGCCAAGCCTGGATGATCGTCCAAAACTTCCTCTTGTTTTGGCCACAATTATGGAAACATTGCGCCTCGGAAATGTTGCTGAGGTAGCTATTCCACATTACACTCTGAGCGATACTACATTGACCGGTTATCGCGTTCCAAAGGATACCGTTGTGATGATCAACTTAATGGCCGTTCATCTTGATCCAAGTCTTTGGGAGAACCCAAACTCATTCGACCCTCGTCGCCATATTGACTCTGATGGCCAACTTATTACCAACTCTGGCAGTTTTCTGCCCTTCTCAGCTGGACGCCGGGTTTGTGCTGGCGAGGCCTTGGCAAAGGTGAGACCTATTTCCCATGTCTTTTATGAATCACTTGGATAGGTTATTTTTAATTGTAATTACCCCCAGAGAATTAAGAATTTAAGAATTTTCCTCAAAGAATTTACACAAAGAAAATTTGTCTAAAAACGACTTTGGTTGAAACGATTCTTAATATAATCTTGTAAAGACCGCTTCTCGGGACACATTGTCGTTATTATTATTATAAATATCATTTTAATATTGTATCAAATGCAAATACAAAAGTTTTGTGCATTATTTTCTTTTGTTTCTCTCAAGGTGGAGCTGTTCCTCTTCTTGTCCTGGATGCTGCATAGATTTACATTTCTGCCATCAGAGGATGGCAATCTCCCGGATCTAAAAGGAGAAAATGGGTTCACTCGCTTTCCAGCTGCTTACAAAATTAGGGTTGAAAAACGCCCGTAATAGGATTTCAAGGATGAACTATTGGTATAATACATGTACGCTTTTAAATGGTTTTGGCTAGACAAACAATTAATGGAAAATAAACAATGACATTAGAGCCTATGATTTTTTCCTCGATCTTGGTATCTACACCTTTCGTGAAAATAAGAATTATTTCATTCAATTCGGTAATTACATCTCAGTAGTGGTTTATCTTGTTAGTGGAACTTGATATAATGCATGCTTTGAAAATCGTAGATAAAAATAGCCTTTAATGATGTTTTAATACAGAACCTGTTTCCTTGTTTCCTTACATGGTAAATTTAGAAAAAGGTTTTAATTAAAATAACACAGAGGTTTTTTTTTTTTTTTTTTTGCGAGTGATGTGATGCCAGGTTTCTTTTTTTTTTCTTCTCGTTATACTGGCTTTTACTTTCTGTACTTTCTGACCGGGAAAACATTAACAATACTTCTTGGTCCAGGTTTTGGTCGCTTGACCCATAATCCCTTTTCAGGTAGTGAATTGCAACATTAAAGCTGAAAAGATTCAGTGCTCGGCGGGTTTGCGCGTGTATTTGACTGGTAGCCCTTTTGGAAGTCTAAACTGACTCTCCTTCATCTCCTCCTGCAGTTCCCTTCACTCCAGTCTGGCCCAATGAATCGATCTACTGACCTCCTATCATCCCAGAGTCATGTTTGATTATTGTAACAAATACATTTGTGACTTACTTTGATATTTTGGCATTAAGAGGGACTTAGGATGATCGTGCAAAATATTTGCAAATTGCCCTAACCTAAGGTAACTGACCTGGGCTCACCTTAGGATCAGACTTACCTAACTGGCCGTGGTTTCTCCTTGAACGCTTCCAATTTACCCGTCAGTATCAGCTCGGCAACTTACATTTACAGGATGAACACGTCATATTTCAGACGTTGATTTGATTTGCCCCGATAATTGTCACGAAATTTGTCACCCAGATGGTCTTGCTAGATCTCTGCGTCTGACAGTTAATGTATCTACTACAACTTTCATGTTCCCACTCTCGAGCTTTGATCATACCTGGGACCTCGTACAGGAAAAAGTCTGTTCAAATAAGAAAAACAAACAAACAAACAAATAGAATCCCCTGGCGTCTCGATTATGGAAACTTCTAGACAAAGCAACAAAGGTCGCCTAAATGAATTATGTACATACATTAGGTCCGCCATAGGAGCAGCTGAATATTGTGCGTCGCCGATCCTTATCAGGATTGATGCTTCATATCAAAGTTAGTACTTAAGGGTCTCGTATTTCAGAGTTCAAAAGTGTTCAAGATCAATGAGGTGATCTCACATCATTAAAACGCAGCCATGGAGTTCTTCCTACTGGAATATTTGACGTTCAAGAATATCTGTGTCGCTGTTGCTTTCTTGTCGATTCTCAATCAACTGATTGAACTTTATCAGTTCAGGAATATGCCACCGGGACCTCGTTTGACAAGTTTGCCGTTCATAGGAAATTTGATGAGCTTTGACTCAGGGGAAAGTTTCGGTGAAATAACAGCAAGGTTTGTTTACACTTCTAATTGCCCTTAGCAATTTATAATTGTTAACTACTCCAGCTAGTTTTTCCAATTATTTTCAGTTCTGTCCGCTTATAGCTCTTTGAATTAAAATTTTTACCCTTGCTATGTGTTCTTTGTTAGGGGGAAAAGTTATGTATTTTAGTTTTAGGACACATTTTAAATTTATTTATCGGTTTAGACCCAGTTCTGTATTTTGTTCGTTCTTTTACTCGACCGGTTGAGCGGTAAAGAATGATGAACGAGTTGTTCTATTCAAATTGTTGTTATTCAAATTAGTTATAACCAGAAAAAGTAAATTGTTGACATATCACAAAATATTGTACTTAGGGTTTTCGTGGGTTTTGGGTTAAACATCTTAAAAATATATTCACATACTTTCACATTTGAAATATTCGGTTATTCGGGTTTTTTTTCTTTTGGTAGTTAAATAAAAATGTACAAAAACCACAGTGGCTTTTAGAAGGGATTTTTATCGATTACTCGCTTTTACTATGCACCTGCTTGTCGGCACTTTTGTCATCTATTACATGGTTTTTTTTAGGTAAATATAAGTGTTAATGGTCTTTCTGGAAACATTGGTTTTCATGGTAGATAGCAGCTGAGTTTATACTCGTAAATCTAATTTCTTTTCATGCAATGGTTTCCAAACCAATCTTGCATAGATAAGCAGAAACTTTTAATTGCTTTTCCGTTTTTTATCTCCTGAGCTGCGCTACTGCAATTAAGATGGGTATTGTTTCTATATCAGAGCTGTAAAATTCGCACCTAGGTTTCCTACTTTAAGAGGCTGTCTCTCTTATTTCCACCCGGTCAATTTTGCGTCAAAAATAATTTTGCCTGAAACTCTGTTAACAGAAAGACTTAACCTAGGAAAGAACTAAATTAGATTTGGTTTGATTCGAAATAATTTTCTGACTGCATTACGGGCCCTAATTATTTCCCAGTCCGTAGGGACCGTCGCAACGTCTCGAAAATTGGAAAATAGGCATATTTTGTAACATTGTAAAATATTCGATTCGCATAGTTAAGCCACAGAACTTATATCAGATTGCTTAAAAACCTTTCTAGTTTGCCAAGAAAGTTAGAATTTGCCCTCTCAACATATTTGAAAAGGCGAATTTTAGCATATTCTGACCACTAGAAATCGCCATCGGCCGATGGCCGTAAATAACCTTGATTTAGACGCTAAGTTTTGGGATTTGGGACCTGGTTGACGATTCTATCCTACACAGCCGTTACGTTTAGACCTTTATAGGCAAAATGATGCAAAAACCCCTGTACGTTTTCGACTTTTCAAAAGTTATGACCGTTTGAATCAGCACATGTACGAGCATTCGCGATTTTTTCGCCTACACCAAAATCGAACCACTGGAGCAGATTTCGTCATAAATACAGCTTACCCGCTTTGCAGCCCGTCTTCATGGCTCACTTCAGAATTTTTCTAATAACCAAATTGGTGAAATCCATGATAACTTCAACAAATAGCTAGGTATTGCCTTCGAAAAGTAGGCGGCATCCATCGTGATTCGTGGTATCAAAACAAATGTCGGAATTGGCCACATTTCGCGATGAATCACCCATTTAACATCGCTGCAGAGCTGAATTTTTTCCAAAATCAGAATATAAACTCTCCATGTCTGGAAGCTGAGGGAGAAATGAAGGTTTTAGGCTTCTGAAGTGAGGAAATGATCGCTTAAATTTAGATCCAGTTCGATGTTATACTGTTCTCACAAAGGTCCGCACAAAAGAGAAGACCGCTGATAGCTTGTGCCGTACGTTGTGCCATATAGTTTTGTTTTGTATCCCAAAGTAATATTTGGGCAGAAAAATTTTGGATGAAAAGAATAAATGCTTTTACCTGGAGTTTGATATCATATAATTAATAAATCAATTTCAAATATTCTGAGCTTGCTTCTCTCGGTTCCGCGTCGATTGTGTCCACAAAACAGCAACCTGTCAATAGCTGGAGAAATCATGGGTTTATGTGAAATTTCAGATATTCCTCGCTTCCCAAACTGGTGAACTGGATAACTCCAGCAAATACCTCCAAAATTCAGCGGTCGGCATCTATCGATACTCTTCTTTGACTCGTTGTTGCGAACTAAACTCGAAAACTAAAGCCATGTTTCCCGTTGAAACTTTGGATTGCAGCTGCATTCTCTTCAAGAATCAGTCATAGAACTCCACTTGTATGTCTATGTGTCGAAGTTTGGCGTTTTGGAATTTAAAGCTGAACGATTGCACTATCGCGAATAACAGAGGTCCGCATTAATCATTGCGGGTGAACCCGCTGACCCTTTATTTTTTTTGGAAGGCCTGCAAGTGTAGTATGGCATGCAAGTGCTTTTTCGAAACCAGAGAGGCTTCAGTCTGTAGCGAGTCTTCAGCGAGGTTGTTAAAGCTTTCATTGGACAGAGGATACGCATTGACGAAACACCCAGTGAAGGGAACAACAGCTGCAGTAAGAATAGTAGACGAATCAAAGAACACTCTCTGTATAAATAAGATTGAGCATTTTAGTAGCTTCCACAACTTTCGAATATGGAGATATCGGTCTGAGAGTTTGGAAATGTTATGGCATCGGTAAAGGGATGTACATTCCATATGACGTAATTTATATCAAGCACCAAGGTCAAACGTCCCTTCAAACCATAGAATCTCAAGGGTTTTATGATCCTCCTGAAAAGCGTGTGGTCAAGCGTCGTTCAAAGGGCAGCAAGGAAACAGAGAGTACAACGCCATTGTTTGAATGCTCTGTGTTTGGATGTGTTGAAGTGTTCGAAACCTTTTCGCAGCTGGAGCTGCACCTGGACGTTGGAAAGCATAAAGTCAGCAGATTAAAGCCAGTATGATGCAATCAAAAGGGACTGGGCCCTTAAGTTCTCGTCGATAGATACCGCTGGTATCGAGTGTTCGAGCTGTTCGTTAGATTCTAGTACACCACTCACTTCTCCCGTGGATACTTCGCCCCACTCGTCTTTACGAACAGTATGGACCGTAAGCAAACCAAGGGGCAGCGTTAGATTTTCAGAGAAGGTAAAAGAATACCTAACGGCACGGTTTACACTTGGAGAAAGAACTGGGCGAAAGGCTGACCCCGCCCAAGTTGCAGTGGACATGCGAAATGCGAAAAATGAATCAAATGCACGTTTGTTCACTAGAGAACAGTGGCTGACAAAGAGCCAAGTTCAGAGCTTTTTCTCCCGGCTAGCAGCAATGCGGTGAAAAGATAATAATAATAATAATAATAATAATAATAATAACGAATTTTTATACAGGATTGAAAAACCCATCAGTGTGTAACACTGTTGTCCTTGGGGTCCTGTCAAAAATAATAAATAAATAAATAAAATAAAATTTAACAAGATATAATCATTGATCTTAAGGTCTAGAAAAGCATACAATAAAATGAAAAAAAAAATAAAAAATTAAATAAGAATACTCTGAAAAGGATACCTATAACCACGTTTAGATAGAATTTAACTAAAATAATCTCGCAATTTGTTCTTAAATTTCAGTCTCGAATCTAACGACCTTAGTTCAGCAGGCAGGTTGTTGAAAGTCTTTGCTCCTTGGTAATAGAAGCTCTTTTTACCAAATTCTAAACGAACTTTGGGTAATTTCACTGATATACCGTTATTCCTAGTGGCCTTAGAATGAACCAGCCTTTCGAAGTAGTTCTTAAAGGGTGTGCAAACATTATTCAGGAGACAGTCGAAAACAAACAGACAGCTTTTACGCTTGATCAAATTGTTCACGGATGGGGGATTAAAAGAACTATTGCCGATAACTTTAAAGCCTCGTCGTTCGATGTTCTTTATCATTTCCTTTCGGTAATCCGGAAAGCTAAGACCAAGTGTTCCGCAATAGGTAAAGATAGGTGCGATCATAGTGTTATAGATCGATTCTGCACACTTTTGGTCGATCAAAGGACGAATTGATCGCAAGAGATTGATTCTGGTTGCAGCTTTTTTATAGATTCGGTCAAAATGTGATGCGAGGTTTAGTGATGAGTCAAGGTGAACACCTAAGTACTTATAGGTAGAGGTATTATTGATGAGTGACCCATTAGCAGAAAGTTTAAGTTCCTTGTCTTGAAGGTTGATTCTTTTAGCTGTTCCAAATAACATAGACTCCGTCTTGTCCTTTTTTAGGTTAATGATCAGTTCGTTGTCTTTAAACCACTCGCACAGGTTATTCATATCCTCGCTAAGGCTTCTCTGTATAGTATCAATATCTTTAGAAGAGGTATAGATGACTGAATCGTCGGCATAAGTGATAATCTTCGAGTGTTGAAGCGGTTTATGTACATCGTTGAAAAAGATAATGAATAAGATAGGACCCAGGATACTTCCCTGAGGAACACCTGTGAGAATGGGTTGAGGTTCTGATAGCACGCCTTTATATTGGACAACTTGTGATCTGCAGAAAAGGTAATCAGTGAACCATGCGAGTTCTGTTCCACGAACTCCGTAAGTTGAAAGCTTGCTCAGGAGGCCAGAGTGACTGATGGTGTCAAACGCCTTGGATAGATCGATGAAAACACAGCCTGTCAGGTTACCATTCTCACCTTCTCTTCTGATAACATCGGTAAGATGAGTAACGGCCAGTTCAGTAGAGCGCATGCGACGGAAGCCGTACTGAAAATGAGAAAGTAGACCATTCTGTTCAAAATGAGCCATCAGCTGCTTAAATACTACTTTCTCCAGGATCTTTGACATTGAAGGAAGTATTGAAATAGGCCTATAATTGTCGATTTCGGCCATTGAACCAGATTTAAAAAGTGGTACAATTTTAGCCGCTTTCCAGTCAGTAGGTACAGACCCTGTTGCGAGAGACAGGTTAATTATATGCGTGAGAGGCTTGGCTATTATATCAGCAGAGTCCTTTAACATTCCAGAAGGAAAGTTGTCAAGGCCAGAGGACTTATTTCTCTTAAGGCTCTTTAATGCATTAAAGACAACCTTTTCCGAGACTGATCTAAACTCAAAGTTCTCTAGCGGCTGCTGGGTGTCTATTGTAAGGGGCCTTTTCCAGACAAAATTGCAAAGAGGGAAGATCTTTCTTTTTAGAGATCGCGCAACATCAGTGAAGAATTTGCAGAACAAATTTGCAATAACCTCTTTGTCGGTTTCTACTGCTTCATTAACGAGAAAAGCTGCTCCTGGTTCCTTTGTAGACTTTGTAGGGTATAGTTTTTTAATAGCTGACCAAAATTTGTTAGGTGAACCCACAGTCTCCTCTAAGAGTTCACGGTGATACCTGCTTTTGCAATTTTTTACCATACCGTTAACTTTGTTTCGTTGGCGCTTGTACGAAGACCAGTCAATTTCACGATTTGTCTTTCTCGCTTTTCTCAAAAGCTGATCTTTGGTATTCATTTCTTGCTTTACCTTCTGTGTAAGCCATGGGCTGAGTTTCCCTTTGATCCTCTTCTTTATAGCTGGCGCATGCTTATCAATACATTCTTTCAGAATGGCTTTCAAAAAAGACCATGCTTCATTAACGCAGGAGGATTTAAAGACAGGTGTGAAACTATTGGACCGTAAATCATTGCAAAAGGATATAGGATCATAATTAGCATAGTTTCGACAGGTGATGGTTCTTGGCTGGAATTTATGGTTATGCAGTTTCCGGACACAACCAATCATATCATGGTCACTTAAGCCGGCGGGAATGACTTTAACACTATAAACATTCTGAGGGCGATTTGTGTAAATCACATCTATCAGTGTTTTTGAATCTTGCGTTACCCTCGTGGGATCCTTGATTAGCTGTTTAAGGCCAAAAGACAATAGCATTGCCTTCAGTTCTTTGTTGTCTGAGCTTACCAAATAGTTGCAGTTGATATCGCCTGTCAAAATGCATTCTTTGTTTTCAGATGATACAGCAGAAAGCATCGACTCCAGTTTATTTTCAAAATCTGCACAAAGATGCTTTGAAGAACTCGGGGGCGATAAATAAAACCAATAAGGATACCCTTAGATTTTGGAAATAAAATTTCTATCCAGATACATTCGATCCCATCGCGTTCCAGGTCTAGTCTTCTATGAAAGGGGACAGAAGAGGAGATATAAACTCCCACACCTCCACCTTTGCCTGTTTTCCTTGGTCTATTAATGAACGTATAGCCATCCAGTTGAACTTGAGCCTCTTCACTGTCCGATAGATGAGTCTCACTGAGGGATATGATGTCTATATGCTTGGAATCATCGATCATTTGGCATAGACTATCCCTGTTCGCCACGAGGCCTCTGATATTTTGATGAATAATTGTAAGCCCATTTTTCGTTGACAAATCCCGAAGATCAGACAGGATGTCATGTGAACTAGAGGAGCCAACAGGACCAGGTTGAAGTTCAACATCATTTGCGAGACGAATGAGTAGTAAGGAAAGAGAGGAATTAATCGCAAAACGGCATCCAAGGAGTAGAAGTCTTGAATTCGGCAACTGGAGATTCTTTGCATGTTGCGAGCTCGGTGACCGATGGTTAAAAGGTTGAATTCTCACTGTCGTCAGACCGTGAGAAATGAAGAGAAGAGTATCACCAGATATATCGAGGTCAGGATTAGCCTTGGGAAGGAGTGCACCAGAGAAACAAACGTAGAAATAAAGCAGAATGATCCAGCATCTAAGAGCTCTAAAAACGTGACCGTCCGCCATATTGATATGGTAATAAAGCCTGTTCAATGTTCAACATCAATGAAGAAACTCGATCTTTCTCGCCCATATGAGCAGATGTAAATAAATGTAGAGATCAGGGTGTGATCGGGATATCACTGGATGAGGAGGAAGATATCCAATGCGTCCAGGAAAATTCCGAGAGATAAGATTTGGTAGACAAAGTTAACAAAGAGATCAAAGTCTCATATCCAATCTACTACGATACGTAGGACCTCTGTGAACGTTACCACAATAACACATTTCAGAAGTTCAATGTGGTTTTGTTGAGAGCCATCTGAAGTAATTTTGAGATCCCTGTAAAATTGAGAGACAAAGAACAGATCCTCATAGACAAACTGTCGGACGTGATTAGTGATTGTCAGTGTGTTTCTCAGTAAACTTATGTAAACAATGTCCTATACGGTGGCTGAAAGTGTAGAATATGCTCTACAGATACAAACTACCTTTACTTCCGATATCAAATTCTGACATCGTTGTTATAGTGTAATATATTATAATATCTAGTAGTCAGTGAAATGTTTTGATGAAATCGATTGAAAATTTACCAAAAGCAATACTTATAACATCTGTTCATACGAAGTATGTGTCAAGTTTTTAACACGTTGGTAGCCGATTTTTCCGGCTATTGACAGGTTGCTGTTCTGTGGACACAATCGACGCGGAACCGAGAGAAGCAAGCTCAGAATATTTGAAATTGATTTATTAATTATATGATATCAAACTCCAGGTAAAAGCATTTATTCTTTTCATCCAAAATTTTTCTGCCCAAATATTACTTTGGGACACAAAACAAAACCATATGGCACAACGTACGGCACAAGCTATCAGCGGTCTTCTCTTTTGTGCGGACCTTTGTGAGAACAGTATAACATCGAACTGGATCTAAATTTAAGCGATCATTTCCTCACTTCAGAAGCCTAAAACCTTCATTTCTCCCTCAGCTTCCAGACATGGAGAGTTTATATTCTGATTTTGGAAAAATTCAGCTCTGCAGCGATGTTAAATGGGTGATTCATCGCGAAATGTGGCCAATTCCGACATTTGTTTTGATACCACGAATCACGATGGATGCCGCCTACTTTTCGGGCTAAACTTCAGAATACCCCGCAACTGACACGCCCTTTCAAATCCTGCTACCGCAGTCCCGCAGTCGACATAATTTACATACTATCTATATATAAACCTCACGAAATATACCGCTTTTTGCTTTGTTCACCTTGTTGGTAGCACTTAGTTTAATACTTATTCATTCACTTCGGGTCGGCGTACATGTAGCAGTCCCGCAGTCGACATAATTTACATACTATCTATATATAAACCTCACGAAATATACCGCTTTTTGCTTTGTTCACTACGGGACTGCGGACCGCGGTAGCACTTAAATTATACACTTACCCCATAACTTATTCATCCACTACGGGACTGCGGACCGCGGTAGCACTTTAGTAAAACACTGCGGACCACGGTAGCACTTAGTTTAATATTTATTCATCCGCGGACCTGTAGATTTAAAGAGGGCGTGTCAGTTGCGGGGTATTCTGAAGTTGCTCCACTTTTCGAAGGCAATACCTAGCTATTTGTTGAAGTTATCATGGATTTCACCAATTTGGTTATTAGAAAAATTCTGAAGTGAGCCATGAAGACGGGCTGCAAAGCGGGTAAGCTGTATTTATGACGAAATCTGCTCCAGTGGTTCGATTTTGGTGTAGGCGAAAAAATCGCGAATGCTCTTACATGTGCTGATTCAAACGGTCATAACTTTTGAAAAATCGAAAACGTACAGGGGTTTTTGCATCATTTTGCCTATAAAGGTCTAAACGTAACGGCTGTGTATGATAGAATCGTCAACCAGGTCCCAAATCCCAAAACTTAGCGTCTAAATCAAGGTTATTTACGGCCATCGGCCGATGGCGATTTCTAGTGGTCAGAATATGCTAAAATTCGCCTTTTCAAATATGTTGAGAGGGCAAATTCTAACTTTCTTGGCAAACTAGAAAGGTTTTTAAGCAATCTGATATAAGTTCTGTGGCTTAACTATGCGAATCGAATATTTTACAATGTTACAAAATATGCCTATTTTCCAATTTTCGAGACGTTGCGACGGTCCCTACGGACTGGGAAATAATTATGGCCCGTAATGCTGTCAGAAAATTATTTCGAATCAAACCAAATCTAATTTAGTTCTTTCCTAGGTACAGTCTTTCTGTTAACAGAGTTTCAGGCAAAATTATTTTTGACGTAAAATTGACCGGGTGGAAATAAGAGAGACAGCCTCTTAATGGCCTAGAGTTTATTGCATCTGTCTTTTTAATTTTGTGGTTCTTTCCGTCGTAGAAACAGATGGAATATTTAAGTAGTTTTCGTTTAACTTCAAAGAGACTTTTTCCGCTCCTTTGTGTTCTTATTCAAATATTGTGATTTGTGTAACAATAGCACTTCACACCAGTTGCTTCTTAAGCAAGTACCTTGTACAGCTTTGATGATTACAAACTAGAGTATGCTAGAGGTCATGTCGCTTGTTGGCCTGACCTAGAATAAAAGTACTGTGGAACCAAAGATTGTCTTATCCTTGACGTCCGTATAAGCTCGCTCGAAGCAGATCTCCGTGTACCAGGAAATCGTGACGAGTTTCCGTTCTCGCTGCCAAGTCGTCTCTACCGAGTTATTTCCCCCAGTTGTTATTGTGCCGTCCGAGAAGAGTCAGTTTTCCAGTTAGCGGGCGAAAACCTATCGTCACATCTTCATTGTATTTGAGCTACATATTCACCTGTTTCACTTTCTTGATAATCCTTTTCCTCAGCGTATTGTAAGGTCTTTGAAGTTGTTACGGATTCTTTTGCAAACAGTAGGACAGACAAAATGGGTCCTTCACAAGAGAGTTGAATAGAATTAGTCGACTACATTAATCAGAAAACACTGAACAAAGGATTGATCATTTCACGCATATAAGTACTTATTGAATTGTTTGGCGGTCGTCATGAAGCTACGTATACTCTAATTGCTTCAATACATCTTATGTCAGCTCTGTACCTACCGCGTAATGTGTTACATTTTACCTCGATTACTTGTTTATAAAGAATTTCCAGTTTGTAATCGCCATTAATGCTTCAAATGTTTTCACAGCTTGAGAGAAAGATATGGCACTTTGTATTCCATGAAGGTTGGAAGTTTTAAAGTCGTGGTTGCGGAAGATGCTATATCAGTCCAAGAAGTACTAGTGAAAAGGTCTGCTGATTATGCTGGGAGACCTCCGTTTCACAGTTACATGGTCGACTCACTTGGTAATTTCTTTAAGGTCAAATGTCTACTACATTTTTAAATGTAAATTAAAATTGAGCTCGAGCTCGGTCAACCTTGAGTGAGAGTTCATCTTGTCGCTTCCGAGGCATGAAATTATCGGCCAGAAAACCAAAAATCTGCCGTGAAGCGCTCGTTCAACAGCAGGATCAACCAATAACTTGTAAAATTAAGAGATACATTTGTTTAGAATTTCTCTCTCGGCTTTATGACTCTCTACAGGTGGAAAGGATATTGCTTTTGGAAACTATGGTCCAGCCTGGAGATTTCATCGTAAGCTCTTCATGGCGGCTATCAGGCGGTATATATCCGATCAAAAATTGGTGGAAGAAAAGATCTCCGAGCAGGTGATAAGGCTAATGCAGTACTATGAGGATCAAAATGGAAATGACTTCGACCCTGGAAAGATATTCATGGAGAGCGTTGCAAATGTGATATGTCAAATCACATTTGGGAAAAGTTTCGATTCTTCACATCCAGATTTTGAGGAACTCTTGCAGTTGAATAACAAGGCTTTTACAGAAACTGAGACAAATTCTCAAATCTTCGTCTTAGATTTCTTTCCAATAGCCAAGTACTTTCCTTTCTCTGGGTATCAAGCAGAGCAGAAGATCGTAGACCGAATGTTTGAAATTCTCCGCCAACAGCTACAGTTACAGGAAAATGAGTTCGATCCAGAAGCAGAGATCGAGAGTCTCATTGGATGTCTTTTGAAAGAGAGGATTACAGCTGAAAATGAGGTCGACTCGAAGGAGAGAGCATCCATCCTATCGGAGGACTACATAATCAATAGCGTAGGAGATATGTTTAGTGCAGGTTCTGATCCTGTCACTGCTGCCTTACGCTGGGTCATTGCATATCTTGTGCACCATCCTGAGTGCCAAGGGGATATACAGAGTCAGCTAGACAACGTGGTCGGAAGAAATCGCGTGCCGGGTCTGGATGATCGCCCAAAACTACCTCTTATTATGGCCACAATCATGGAATCACTTCGCCTTGGAAATGTTGCTCCGACAACTCTTCCACATTACACTCTCAAGGACACGACGTTGGCCGGCTACCACGTTCCAAAGGATACTGTAGTGATGGCCAACCTAATGGCCGTTCATCTTGATCCAAGCATTTGGGAGAACCCAAACTCATTCAACCCTCGTCGTCATATTGACTCTGATGGCCAACTTATCACCAACTCTGGCAATTTTCTACCCTTCTCAGCTGGACGCCGGGTTTGCGCTGGCGAGGCCTTGGCAAAGGTGAAACTTCATACTCCTTTATATCAGTTTCAATCGAAATTTCGCCAACAACATTTGCACAAATGAAAGTCATGTAAGATAGTTGTTACCTAGTATTTCCTCTCTTCTTATCAACTGCTGAAGTTCAGCAATATTTAAATAAATGTGTTTTGAACCAGTGGGATGAGTTGGGTGCCCTTTTTAAAAACTTCGAGCTCCCTTTTGCTTAATCGGTTGAGAGCATCCCTAGCAATTTAGGAATTACTCGATATCATAAAACTTGTTTGTGATTAGTGGTCTTAAATCCGAAAGTTTTACTATTTTAATTGTTTTCGTTTTCTCAAAGGTCGAATTGTTCCTGTTCTTGTCATGGATGCTGCACAAGTTTACATTTTTGGCACCGGTGGATGGTAGCCTACCGGATCTAAGAGGGAAGACTGGTTTCTCCCGCTACCCGGCTGATTACAAAATCAGGGTTGTAAAACGCTAGTAATTGCGATTAAGATGACGTACTCTTGAACTATATTTGCACTTAATAGCTTTTGAGAGGCTGAAAAATATATCAAGCTTTTAAGACTCTCTATCATCAGATTGGTATCATTGATGCAAAGATCGAAATCTAGAGGAATTCTAAGCATGAATCCTGTTAAACTGCCAGATGACTTGGAAATTTAGATAAAATTGTGAATATTGCTTATTGTTAGGGGTCACTAAATCACTTTATTTCCCCTTAAATGTGTGAGGACTTTGAAGGGTTCAAAGGGTTGACTTACTCGCTAACGACATTTGTTAAATGTCTCATTATTGCATTACATTTTTAGCTTGCAAAGCTCACCAATCAGCCGCCCGGTACATACATACAGGAGAACACTCCAAAATAACTTAAATGATGTATGATGTGGCTCTGTCTTTGTGTTTAAACCAGATACAGATCTAGTCCTTTAGATGTCATGATCGTACTCCCAGCACTGTTTAGGGTAAATTGGCTGTCAACAAACCTCTTCATCTATGATCGAGTTACCTTCCCGACTATTTACCAATTCCTCTTTTTAAAGTGAGATCATGCTGATAGTATACTTTAAACTTTTAATCCTTACAGTTGTACATTGTCTATAGTTCAAAGCGTATGGTAAGAATACATAGGTACATCGGAAAAGCATCCACACTACTGATATATAGGAATTTGCTATAGTTGCTTCTTTTTAAATTCTTAAGATAGACGTAACCATCAAATCGCTACTAAAAATGTTTCCTTTTTATACGCTGTCATTCTCAAAACACAAAAGTGGCGCACGTACTAAACCACAGGGTGCAGTCAACAAACAGCTCTGCTCTTTTCTTAACAAAGGATTATTGTTTGAGTCAAGAATACTTTTTTGTATTGTTCTAATCAGACCGCTAAAAAAGAGAGGAATGAGACTAATTCATGTCACAATTAAGCTGCCAGGCTGCTAAGCGAGATTCAAAATGGCGGCGTCCATGCTGATACTTTTCCACGAAAGAAATAAGAATTATATGGTTTCTTGAGTATACTTTTCCCTTAAACTATTGTAAACCCAAATAAAGATGCTCTCAATCTTCTGCTACTACTATAATGATACACATTAGGAAAACTTAGTACAAACAGTTTCCGACGCACGGTTTGTGCAAATCAGGACCTATTTTGTTACAAGCTCTCAAGTCAACTTCTGCTTATAACACCGTTCGCTTAAGATCATAGCCTTCTATTGACGTTTTTCTACCCTTATATTGTAAGGCGCCGGAAAACGGGTAAAACCGTCGACTCCTTTAAGGTCAGGAAGAACACCGTTCTCTTGGGGCAAGAAGGTAAACTTGTGCAACATCCAGGACAGGAAAAAGAACAACTCGACCTAGAAGAACAGAAAAGTAAACATAATCACTTATTACTTGCATTCTGCTTGATACACATAAGGTGAATCCACCATATCACTCGCAACGAGGAGTGATGTTTTTTAATACGGACCACTCCTTATCACTTTCCTCTATCACAATTTAATGAAACGAATAACATGTGCCCTTCTTGGAATGCTGAAAAGAGATGGAAACCTTGTCATAAGGCTGACGGACATGAACGACAGGAAGGAGAGATATATAGACGCAGTCGAAGGTCTTTTTGTCCTTTGCGTACTAAATGCGTACTAAAGATAATTGCCCCTTTGTACTAAAACGGTTAACAGTACCTTTGCAAGTGCCTCGCCAGCACAAACGCGGCGTCCAGCAGAAAAGGGCAGAAAGTTTCCAGAGTTGGTAATAACTTGGCCATCAGCATCAATATGGCGGTGTGGGTTGAATTTGGTCGGATCCTCCCAGCAGCTTGGATCCATGTGAACGGCCATCAGATTGGGCAAAACCACAGTATCTTTTGGAACACGGTAACCAGCAAGTGTGGTTTCCTTCAGTGTGTAATGAGGAAGAGCTGCTTCAGCGACATTTCCGAGGCGAAGTGTTTCCATGATTGTGGCCTGAACCAGCGGAAGGTTTGGGCGGTCATCCAGACCTGGCATACGATCCCTCCCTACCTCCTCATCCAACTGGTTCTGAATCTCTGTTTGACAGTCAGGATTGTGAACTAAGTAAGCAATGGCCCAACGAAGAGTAGTGCTGGTGGTCTCATAACCAGCGCTGAACATGTCTTCCATGGTGTTGATTATGTAGTCGTCGGACAAGATGGCTGCTTTCTCCCCAGTGCCAACTTCATTTTCGGCGACAAGTTTTTCCTTCAAAAGGCTACTAGTGAGGCTCTCGATCTCCGCTTCGGGATCAAATGCTTTCTCTTGCACCCTTAGCTGATTGCGCAGAATCTCAAAGAGTCGATCAGTCATTTTTTTCTCTGTTTCGTAAGCTTTGAATGGGAGGTATTTGGCTATAGGAAAGTTATCTAACATAAATATTTGACTATTCAATTCGGTGTCTGTAAAGGCTCTGTTGTTTATCTCCAAGAGTTCCTTAAAATCTGGATGTGATGAATCAAAGAGCTTTCCAAACGTGATTCGACAGATGACGTTTGCAACGCTTTCCATCAAAATCTGTGATGGGTCAAAACCTTTTTCCTTCTGGTCTTCAAAGTACTGCAGAAGCCTCTTTGCTTGCTCGGAGATTCTTTCTTCAACCAGCTCTTGATCCGAGATATACTTTCGCACCGCCGTCATAAAGAGTTTGCGATGAAACTTCCATGCAGGACCATAATTTCCAAATGCGATATCCTTTCCGCCTAAAATGCAGTACAAGAATATTTATAATTTTCATGGATTTTTTTAGCTCTTAGGAGACCGGTCATTATCTATTGCCGTAGGGAGGGGTGGGGGGGGGGAGCAGGGGTAGGTGACAATAAAGTTTACCTGATCTCCCCATAGGACTCTGTAATGTTTGTATAACCGTATGACCCCTTCATCCAACCCATCCCGCTCCCCCACTCCACATTGGCAGTCAATTTCCAGAGAATTTTCTATATTGCCCTCTGAGTTGACAACAAATGGCAAATGTTATTCGGCATTGCATTACATACCAAGAGTGGTCATCACGAAGCTATGGAATGGAGGTCTTCCAGCATAATCAGCCGATTTCTTCACTAACACTTCTTTCACTGAAGCAGCATCCTCGGCAACGACGGTTTTAAAACTCCCCACCTTCATGGAATACAATTTACCATACTTTTCTCTCAAGCTAGGTGATAAAGAAAACAAAAGAAAAACGTTAGGGAGTATGTTCAAAGGTATTTCTTCCCTAAATTCGATGTAAACGTGATTTTGAATAGATTTGCTGTACACAACTACAGGAGACTGTTGCCGAAATGAGTGAGTGAGTGACCATAACAATAGAATGCCGAACTTTACCCGATTTTGACCCAATGTCACTTACTGTTTATTTCGGAGTATCTTCGTAGTTCGACATTTTCATAAGAGATTGTTGGGCGCAGTATACATTGAAGGAAGAAGAAATTATAAATAAAATAATAACCAAATAAAACCAAATTTTAATTCTTAAATATCTCACAATCATCTCAAGATCGTTGAACACTAGACTTTTCCTCGGGGTGATCAATACATCATGAAAACTTGGAGAACAATTTTATCTTTGAAGAAAGAGCATTTCACGTTTAAATCAGCGAACCATGCCCAGAAGATTGTACGAGACGCTCTGTTTTTTCAGTTCTTGCCGTGACACTACAAAAGATGATAAATTTCACAATAGCATCTCTGGCGCGAAATTGAAAACGATACTTTTCCTTGCCGAAATAGCTAATTAGGTGTGATCTACACATTGTAGAAAGTTCAGCAATTTTTTTTTTCATTCGAAATGAAAGCACGTTACCATGCGGCAGGTTTTCTGTTTTACATGTGAATACAAATCTTCTGCAACACTGCCTTCTAGCGTCATTATACAACCTCTGATTCTTTTCAATGCTATAAAAATTGTGCTGTACCAGTGGCCACATTTAACCGTTTTGCAGTGTTTACAGGAAAATTTTGTTGCATTTGCAGAGTTAAAATGCCGTTTCCTAAATCACATAGTGCAGTATAAAAGGTGATTTAATCAAAAGGTTTTGTTTGCATAGTAATACTTCATAATCGATAGAAATATGGTTTTTATTTTCGCTTATTCAAGTCGGCTTCTTTCAACCTACGGTTGAATTGATCTAATTTCCATAAGGTTGATGGTTTATGTCACGCAACACACAATACTAACAATCAAAACAAATTTTCTGTTTCCTTTATGGCAGCTGCAATAAAAATTTCAAAGCCGTAAAATTACATCAGCGCCTGATCTGTTCAAAAGACCGGCCAGCAAAGTTTGGCAAAGCAATCCACCTCTTTCTGTTCCATTGCGATAGCTTTTACGACATATGATCGACAAGTTATCACGGTTTTGTTTATCTAGTCTATTTTTGTCCTGCTTTTACCCGGGACAAATTTTGTCGACGGTGCGTTTGAAGATTTTTCCGCTTCGGCAAAATTTGTCAAGTCGCGACAAACTAGCCGCTCTTGCAAGAAAGGGCTGGTGATAACAGAGAATTTGTCTGAGTAAACAACCTTTTTCGATCGTGCAGCAAGGCCCTTAGCGAAGCCACATAACATGCAAATTTGCTTTGTTTGTATAGCACCCATCTGCGAGCTATATGTGCAGCGATAGGAGCACCGTATTTTGTATCCATAAAGCCAGGATTTCACAACAATAAGATACAGGGAATCGTTGTGTTAAAACAAAATCACTATCAGGTATAGAGCATATAAACATGGAGTGGTTTTAGGTGCAAACAAACCTTCTGGTAGCATCGCGAAGGCTATCTCCGTCATCAAAGCTCAACAGATTTCCCACGAACGGCAGAGATGTCAGACGAGGTCCTGGTGGCATGTTCCTGAACTGATATAGTTCAACCAGTTGATTTAAAATTAGTAAGAAAACGATAGCCAAGAAAATATTACCGAAAGTAAAGCACTCCGAAACTGTGAGCTCCATCACGGATAGTGCAAATAGTTCACACAAATTTACCATGACGTCACCTGGAGTCACGAGATAATAGTACAAGCCATGAGAAGATAGCGTGACGGTCAATTGTGAGGCAAATAGGTATTGACTTTGTAGGTTTGTTTATCTCTAAATTCTGAATTAATTAAGTATTTGCGAATTTAAAGCGCAGATGTTTCGAGAATGTATTTGAATGAAAACCGTCCAGAAGGCCAAAGCACTTTTTCTAGTGGAGAAATTAATAATACTTAAGGTCTTATATCCGTTCTGCACTGTGTCTATATCAGAGTGAAATTGTGTAAACAAATGAACTTATTTATTGTTTTTAGATGCGAAATGGAAGAATGCAAGAAGCATTGACATTCATTCCGGACAGCTGTATTATACTGAATATTTACTTGAACGATGTAAGCTAAGCAGTGTAAAGTTTCGACCAAGAATGTCATTACAAAACGCTATCGCTAGTAGCACATTCGCGAATCGGCAAAAATCGATCACCAAGAAACTCCAGCAAAGAACACGGCAAAGTACCAAATGTTGTGTTCTTCAAACACGAAACGACTCCACTTTAAGAAAAGACCTCTAATACACAACGACAAAAGTGTGTATTGGACATATTTTCGAAATGGCAACCAGATATTTGCCACATTGATGCTAAGCATCCCGAATAGTGTCAAAGAGCATAATGACTCCAGAGAGGAAATGGATTGCATTTGATAATACGTAGCTTGTGCAGCACATGTATTTAGCTGAAAAAAAAAAAAATCATTTATTTTTAGCGGGTGGTATTTTTCGTTCCTTTGAGAAGGATATCCCAAAACCTGAGCTTTAATTTCGCTTTTAGCCCCTACCCTCGAAAATAACAACATTAAAAACCAAGGAAAAAACAACTCGCGAACATGTTTATTTTATAAATATCTGTACAATAATTATTCACACTCAGAAACGTCATGTATTAAAACGCAACGTCACTTTGGATGTAAAACATCAATAAAGAAATTACTGACCAATTTATGCACCAAAGGGTTATAACTCTCACAAAAAAAGGCAGACGACAAGGGTCTAAGCCGTGTTAAATCCATAGAATCATCGAGAGAAGTGACACTGAACTGTGTCATCGCCTAATTTCTTAATGTCCAGTACTCGTGCGATCCTTTCTAGGGCTTCCTTAACCCTTTAACTCCTAAGATCTCATTAGTAATTCTCCTTATTGTCTGCCAAATGATTCTCATTATGTTAGTTTGGAGAATTTGGTATCGGATCAATTAAATAATCTCATAATTGATATTTTTCTTTATTCTCATCACTTGTCTGCATGATCTTTTATAGATATAGTAGGGAAATTCAGTCTTGGTCACTCACGGGAGTGAAAGGGTTAAAACTTGCACCAATGACCGAGCATAACTTCATTTCTTCGATATGTAGTCGCCGTATTTTCTTGAGTCGCCGCAAGTAGTGTCCACTACACAGTTTCATTTCCTAAAGAGGAGAAGAGGTCAAACGTTGGAAGTTCTTCATCGTTATCATCGTCCACTACATCGGATACCTCCAAGACAGATGTGCAGGGGACCAGAGCTCGCGAAGAGGTTATTTTATCAACTGAATTGGTGTTTTCTCCAGGAGTGTAGGCCGTTGCCTCATCTGCTTCTCCATTCAATTCGATAGGATTTTGAGAGTTGGACGGAAACGCCTCAAGAGTAGTTTCTTTGTCTTGTGTGCTTTGAAAAGAATTCTTTGTTACCTCTGCTGAGCTGGAATCTTAAATATCAATAGTTAGATTGCAAAATAGTTAATACTTATAAAGTGCTGAATTTTGCATGTACTGATTAAATTTACATAAAAGTAACAAGAACAACACCACAAATAATTATTGACAAAATAATAGCAATAACTATAATATCGAAAATGTTACTTATGACGACGTTGGCACCGACTGTCACAATGAAAATAGCAAAGACAAAAGCAATGACAACGGCGAAAGCAATTACGATGGCAATGTCAGCGTCAACGACAGTTACCATGACGACAGTGAAAATGAGAGTGACAATGACGATGTCAGAAGCAGATCAATGTCAGTATCAGAACAACGGCGCACCTACCCCTCCCCTAACCCAACATTAACCTAAACTTGTTAGGGGCCGAGTGTTGTTAGACTAGGGGAGGGGTAAGTGCTAACACTGATAATGACAAGCATGATGACAATCATTGTAACCATGACCACGAGAGGGAGGTCATCTTCCGATGCGTGCAACACTCTTCCAGATATAACTACTAACCTTGGCAGGCATCACTGGCATATTCTTTCTTCCATTTCTCAACGAAATCTTGTGTGTTACACAATCCGCCGGGATATCCTGAATACGAAAAAAATTTAAAAACTATGTTGAAAAATAACAAATTAAAAATACTCTAAAAGCCCCTAAAGAAGAGAATATCTAGTTGAACAATTATAAAAGAATGTACCGACTCTTACCACGACAGTGCTCTATAACTTTTCCCCAAACGTTGTTACAGGACAGCATCTTAAGATTACCGACGATAAGGAGATGCCTGAAAAAAGGAAAATGATAATTAAAACTAAAAAATCGTTTACAGTTATTGATATTATATTCCACTTAGCCGAGAATGTAATCCTTAGACTATGGGTTTAAGATTGATATGTGCCATTCAACGATAAGTATACGCCTGCTTTGGCCTCGAGCTCAAAATGAACGACGAACACTGCATGCTGCATTTCAAAGCAAAATTATAATTACTAACCTCTTAGCTCTCGTTAATGCAACATTAGTACGTCTGAGAGGGAAACATAGGAAGTCATTAGATAAAAGAAACAAAAAATTAAATATCAGAAACCAACAAAGGGAAATAGGCTAGAAGATGAATCCTCCAAGTATTAATTGTCTCATCACTCTCTTTTTAGGCTCCTGTTACAATGCCCCCCTGAAAGCAATTATCAAAATGATTACACGATGTGATTACACCACCGAGGTCATCCTATTGTTTCTGTTGTTGAGAGCAGTTCACGGCAGCCTAAGCTGTCGAAATGCATTTTCCGTCCCACGCTCTTAGAGAAACAACGCTCGTGTTGGTATAAAACCTTGCGTAACTTACGAAAACTCTTTAACCTTTTACACCCAAACATCAGTATGCATATTCTCTACACTGTTCTCTAAACGTTTCCTAAGGTGCTGGTGAGGAGAATTCGTCTAACAGTCAAGAGCTATTTTCGTAGGTGATCAGTTCCTTTATTCTCCTGAACTAAATGTTTGATTCAAGGGTGATATAGTAAGGAGAAATTAGATGCCAGTCACTCTTAGGGGCTAAAGGGTTAACAGACTGGTCGTAATGACAAAAAATCTCATAGATTGTAAAGGAGATGCACCTCACATGTATGAAATATATGCGATGGCCATGGCCAATACATACGTAGGCAATGCTCTGAAATGCCTTGTTGCTATCGTCACTGAAGTGTATTTTGCTTCTTCATACCTTGGTGTGTATAATAAACCTAGCGCAGCGCAGCATTATCGACCGAGCTAAAAGACACAACCGTGAGCATGTGAGGTGATAAAAAGTAAGAAGAATCTCACCTGTCACAATCAATGAACCCAATGTGATCCGTGCGCACGCACGACAAAATGATCAAGTCCTTTTCACCGCCCTGGAATGCGTCGACTGTTGATATCTGCTTAGAAACAAAGTAGAAAAAAATTATAAATTATAAAAGAAAAGATAAACGGACAGGACGCAAACGAAACAAAAACACAAGCAACAAAAGGAGCCACAACAATTTTCCAAAACAAACTAAGTGTAGTTCAACTAAAGGTAAGAGTGAAACACTTCTTCGCCACACGACTTTCCCTCACCTGAATAGATTTGAGTTCGGCGTTGGAAGTGGCTCTGAATTTCAGACAAAATGAGAGCAAGCTAGTGGTTACAATTATCGTGAAACAAAAAACCGGAAAAACAAACAACAAACATAAAGAAACTATCAATTAACTTTGAATATCTCTTCAAGTTCAAAAATACACGTTAATTTGTACCAAACGTCGAGTTTTCGTGGCTGAAATTAAGAGTAATTGAGTCTAGAAGCGGCGTTTATGCCTTTGTGGCTGTTCAAAACTGCATCTACAAGACCACTGTAATAGACAAGTTTCCAACAACTTTATAAGTATTGAGGAATTCCGATTCCTGGATACGAGAGAACATATATACCTGGAAGCTGTCAAATGGTTGGATATTGTGTTCAGTTGGGACTTGTACAACGTTATTACTCCTGAAATAAAGGAATGCAAGAATAACGAGTTTCAAGATGCACAGAGAAAATTCCATTCGTAACTAACAACTACCAAGGTGCGGCAATGCAGGAAAAGGAAGGAACTCGTACACCAATCGGTAGGAGGAGGGAGGTACGATAGTCATGAAAGTAAATCTAAAAAGTCACAAGAACCTGTTTAATATCACTCTGCACCTGCGATTAACCTTCTGGCAATATGTGAGTAGTAACCTACATTTCTAAAAAGGGTTAGGAACTTTGCTGACACAAGAAGTGTTGTAAATACATTGGTATGATATCATCAATGATCACAAACATCCACTAAGTTATAAGCCAAACAGGTTAGTGGAAGCACTGCATTACAGATGGTTTTAAAAATATTCATCACATACCAATTTGTGCCGGTTCCACACCAGACTCCAGGAGGCGTTCAATAAGAAAGACAACAAATTTCGCCTACAACCAATGAACAAAATTCAGTGAAATAAAATTAACAAATAGATTCCAAGTTGCCGTGCGTCTGTTCAGTAATAGATCACAGATGACATCAAAATGTGGTAAGAACAAAAAAGTGGCACACGAGGTGCAGCCTTTAAGAATTAAAAAAAGTTTTAATGATGACGTCATCTATACGTCTGTCCTCCAATAGATCATAATTGAGAACCAATCAGAATGCGTGCATAACTGAGCTTATTATATAAACATTCATAGATCAAATGAAATATAAAATGAAGAATGAAAAACTCATGGAAAAGAAAACAAAAAAAAGTATGTTCGAGAGGCGGGGACATACAAGAAAGCAACGAACGATCTTTGGAGTCCATCAGCAACATTCAAAGAACAGGGGCTCAAGAGAGAAACACACATAACAATCGCAGCAAAGTGAAAAATGATACAGCAAGACTCTTGTACCTCTTCGTCGTTGTAGTAACTTCCATCTCGTCCACATTTCTCTTTTCCTCTTGCCACGTTATAGAAGCAAAGGGTTGGAACAACTTCCTGTTTGAAAAACACGATTTACATGCTTTGTAAAATGTGTTCATAAACAGGTATCTTTTTTAACGTCATTCAGCAAGAGGCAAGAATTTGAACGGAGAGAGGAGAGAGAATGGCATTTTTGCCATTTGGCTTTCAGCCATTGCGCAAGAATGTGAAAAGTGTCGTTCCTGTTAAGTTTCGACAAATCGGAAAAACCCATTCATTTTTTCAAGCTGAACTACTAAAGGATTAAAGTCAGTACAGCTGTTACCCGGGTGGATCATTTGGCCTAACTAGCAGAGAACTTATGGACACTTACCACTATTGGGGAACGATCTTCGGATGTTACCCCGTCAAGAAGCTTCTTCCCATAAAACAATCTGCAGAAGAAAAGGCAAGTATTGTTCACCGTTGCATTTCACAATCAAAACTGATTTTAACGCAAGTGCCACTGGTGCAATTACGTGCACGTAAATTCTAAGAATCTGTCAAGCTAGTCGAGGCTTTTTCCGACTTACAGGCTCTTCAAGCGAAGTTCAGCAGAAAACACAAGGAAGTTATGTGTCCAGTGTAAACAAACCGGCAGTTCAAAGTTCAGATCACTTTTACGGTTTAAAAACACAAACACAAAGAAGCAAACATGAAATCAATTTGTACTCACATGTTGGATATCGCACTGATCGTTGGATGACAACGGTACTAAAAAGAACAGCAAAAGAGTAAAAATCAGGTTTTTTTCCCTTCATTCGACACATCAATTTGACTACTTTGTTATTTTTCGATGACTAAGCAATTCACACATCTACAAATCGACATGGTTGGATCAGCGCCTTCGAAGGGAATTGACTTTTACAGCTCATTTCACCCTTTACCTCCCTAGATTTGAATGTTAATTCTCTCCTGTAGCTGCTACACATTTCCTTGTTGATTAGTTGGGAGAATTTGGTGCTACATCAATATAACAACCTCTGCCTGATAAGTTTGAGTATTCTCATTACCCGTTTGCTGGATAATGTATGGATATTATAGGGAGAAGTTGCATGTTAATCACTTCTGGGAGTTAAAGGATGAAATGGTGCGGTATCTTACCTGTGTTCTCAGCAGAGTAGGCTCATAACCCTGGCAATGGACGAATTAAAAGATAAATTAAAAGATAAATAGACAAAAAAAATCAACAAAATAATTGAAAATACTAGACGTGCACAGTGAAGAAATCTAAACTTGGGTCCAACAAAGAAGCACAAAGACTTCATGACTTACACGTGTTAACATGGCGCGTTCACTGCTCTTCTTGAGCTCCCGTTTTATTTTAATTTTATTACTATGTTATAGCCTTAGTCCTATAAGTATATGGCAAAATCAAATTCCAAGTGGTGAATCTCTCTTTCTGTCACTAAAATTGGACAGTAGAGTTTTTCCAAGTCGCAATAACGGTCCTCGAAAGGCGAATGGTGCTGTACTGCCGCCATGTTTAAAGGCCAAAGCTTCTCTTTTCGTTTTGGAAGTTGGATTGTCTACTCTATTTCTACTTATGTTAGCTGGAGACGTCTCTACTAATCCAGGGCCACAAACTGTACGTCCTGGGAGCCAAGATATTGGTGAAAACTCAAGCTTTGTTTCGCTTACAAGCGATGAAGAGTCAGCTAGCATGGACGATACTGTTGAGTTTCATAATGACTCAGATGATTCTTCGCAAAATGATTTATCGCCTGATGGCTTTGACTACTTTAACCTACATCTTGGTCATAAAGGCATACGCTTTGGTTCTTGGAATGTCAACAGGCTTACGACTACAAAACTAGAACAAATAAAATTGTTCCTTCTTAATGAAGATGGTCGACCACGTTTGGATATTTTATCAATCAATGAGACGTTTTTGAAACCGCTCCTCCCAGATTGTCTATACTCAGTCCCTGGTTTCACAGTGCACCGAAAGGATCGGATGGGCCTGAAAAATGGTGGTGGGGTTCTAATTTATGTGAATGACGATCTGAAACATCGAAGGAGAGTCGACATTGAGCATAATAATAATATAGAAGCATTGTGGTTGGAAGTCTTTCCATTCAAATCTAACCGTCCCATTTTATTCGCCGGCATTTACAGACCTCCTTCAACTAATTTATCAGAGGATGAGGCCATCGAGAATATGTTAGAATTAGTTTATCTATTAAATTTAGAAACCATCATTACTGGCGATATCAACATTAATTTTATTTCTCCGGCGTACAAGAAACATCCCTTGGGACGTGCCTTTTCTAACATGAATTTCAAACAGCTCATTACTGAAGTTACTCGACCATCAAGCGGAACCTGTCTTGACTTTGTATTGTCAAATTTTCCTGAAAGAATTAAGTCTATTGTCGTCAAAAACAATGGGCTGTCAGATCATTTGCCTGTATTTGGAGTTCGTTTATATGAGGATAACGCCAAGCGTCAAAATAAATCTTTAACGATTAAATATCGTAATACGAAGCATTTTGACAAATCCGCCTTCGTTTCCGACCTCAAAGAAGTTCCTTGGAATACTGCATTTGTCTTTGACGATTTAACTGATATCTTAAATGCATGGATGGGTCTCTTCATTAACATCTTGGATGCCCACTGTCCGTGGCGAGTAAAGAAAGTAGCCAAACAAAATCAAGCTCCATGGATGACTGTGAATATTTTACAAGCGCTTCGCAGAAGGGATTCTTTACTACGTAAAGCAAGGCAAAGTCGTTGTGTCACGGATTGGAACTGCTTCAAAATCGCGAGGAATAAAGTTGTAAACTTTGGCACAGGACTCTGCTATTCAGGGTCTGCTAGAGGTGTTCAAAAAAAGCATGGACTGTTGTAAGTTCCCTCAACAATGGAAGGAGTCATTAGTTACACCTGTTTTTAAGAAAGGGAACAGGCTGGATCCCAACAATTACCGACCTATATCCTTGCTTAGTACACCAGGAAAGCTTCTTGAGAAGGTAGTGTGTGACTCACTTGATGATCACATGTTATCCAATGGCATTCTCACAGATAGACAATGGGGATTTAGGAGGGGCTATTCAACGGAGAGCCTCCTCCTTCATCTCACTGAGTCCTGGGGGAGTGCCCTGGATAGAGGCCATAAGGTTGGAGTCTTATTCATTGATTTCCGCAAAGCTTTTGATTGTGTCAACCACAGTATTCTTACTGAGAAACTCAAGGCTGTTGGCTTGGCAGGTGATATGTGGAAATGGATCAATGACTATCTCTCCAACCGTGTACAAGGGACTAGTGTAAGTGGGTCTAGATCTGATAGAATCCCCATTAGAGCTGGGGTCCCTCAGGGATCCTTACTAGGACCAAGATTGTTTGCATCTTATGTTAATGACCTCCCTGAATCTATTACCAGTGGAGAAGTCTATATGTATGCTGATGACACAACAATATATGTAGTAGGGAATACTGTTGATGAATAACAACAGGGTTACAGGCTGTTTTGGACCAGGTTAATTCCTGGTGTCTTAGTAACAGATTGATTCTACATGAAGGTAAATCCGAGGCAATGGTCTTAAGTACTACCCCCTTCATAGGTCCTTTGAAACAGCTGAAGTGGGGTATGGACACCATTCGGTATGTGTCCTCCACCAATTGCCTTGGGGTTACAATTGATGATAAACTCTCTTGGTCTCAGCATGTTGCACTGGCTAGATCTGCATTTAATGCCAAAGTTAAAATGTTGAGACGTATAAATTTCCTATGTACATCTATCTTGGAGACTTTTTACTATAGGATAGTTATACCAAGTGTTCTATATGGAATTGCAATTTGGGGGTCTGGATCCAAGCTTAAAGATCTAGAAATGATTCACATCAGGGCTGCCAGGCTAATTCATAAGATACCAAATAGTTTTGGGGATAATGATGTACTTTCTAAGGTTGGCTGGATGCCTTTAGAGTATTTTTATAAGCTACGTATCTTAACTATTACATATAATGCTTATTATAATTTAGGGTTGCGGGAAATTAATTGTTTGGTGACCAAGAACTCTAACAGTTATAACCTAAGGAAATCCCTGAATGTTGTACTTAATAGGCCCAAAACCGAATTGGGTCGTAGGTCCTTTGCTCATAGATCTGCAGTAGCATGGAATGCACTTCCCGATAATGTTAAAGATTCTCCAAATTTATCTATTTTTAAATATAACTTAAAACAATCCAAGCAAACTGTTATGAATATTAATTTTGAAAAGGGAGGTAATGTTATACAAAACATGAAACCAAATTTTCACTATTACTAAAACTTTATGGTTTACTTGATTTATTCAACTTATAAATTTTATCATATCTGTATTTTATATAATTATAGACTAATTAGTTTAGGCAGGTCCACATCAGCTGTAAAGTTGCGCAAATTTTAACCTGCGTTATCAAATAAAGTTATGTATGTATGTATGTATGTAAACATGATTCGCAGTGCGAAATATAAATACTATAATACCTGTTTCAACAACAACAAGGGAAACTCTAAAAAGATGTGGAAAACCATAAAATCACTAATGGGCGATGTATCAAAATCAGTTGAGACGCCAAATGTTGTTTTGGCCGAAAAGTTTAATGATCACTTCACTTCAATTGCTGATTCACTGAGGAATCTACTACCTAATGTACCTTATTGCAATTCAAAGGTTGAAAACTTTGTTTGTTCAAGAAAAGATCCGGATGTTCTTTTCAATATTCCTCCTGTTACCAAAGATTTTGTGCTGGGTGCTCTGTTAGGACTTAAAACAAACAAAGCTATGGGTATTGACAAGATAAGTGCAAGATATCTGAAAATAGCAGGACCAGCTATTGCTTATTCAATTACTCAAATCTTGAATATTTCAATTAATTCTGGTGTATTCCCTGATTGTTGGAAGATAGCGAAAGTCATTCCGTTGTTTAAATCTGGGGACCGTGAGGATCCTGACAATTATCGACCCATTTCGATATTACCTGTTTTGTCAAAGATTCTGGAACGTCATATACACGATCATCTCTATAATTACTTATGTGAAAACAATCTATTGTACCCTTTACAGTCAGGTTTTCGGAAACACCATGGAACAGACACTGCTCTTATACGAGTCATAGACAATTTGTTATTTAATCTAGACAATGATCAAGTCAGCGGTCTTCTTTTAGTTGATTACAGGAAAGCTTTTGATATGGTTGACCGTGAAATTCTTTTGCAAAAGCTGAATGCCTATGGTTTAACTCCAGTTGCAAGTAAATGGTTTAGTTCATACTTGACTGATAGACATCAATTTATTGCTATTGATAATGTGACATCTGACTCTACTCTTGTGAGGCATGGTGTTCCACAGGGTAGTATCCTTGGCCCTTTACTTTTTGTCATTTATATCAATGATTTGCCTCTACATGTTAATGGTGCTGACCTGGATCTCTATGCTGATGACACCACACTGACATTATCGGCAGATATCTCAGCGGTTGATTCTCTACAAGATTCACTAGCTGCTTCTTTGAAGGAAATTGAATGCTGGACGCACACCAATAAACTTCCTCTCAATGAAAAAAAGACTAAAACACTACTGGTCACAGGCAAACGCCTTGGGAAGAAACTACCAGATGGTTATAATTTATCTCTTAAAACTATGAATGGTGTATCATTGGAACAAGTACCCTCAGCTAAACTTCTTGGTATAGACATTGACCACGATTTATCAATGAACACTTATGTTGACAGACTGTGTAAAAAAATTTCACAAAGAATTGGAATTTTGAATAAGATCAAACTTTGTTTACCATTTAACCAAAGACTTTTATTTTATAATAGTTTAATTAAGCCATTATTTGATTATGCCAATGTTGCATGGCAGTCACTTTGCTCTAATGAATCTCTTTTAAGAAGACTTAGGCTACAAAAGAGAGCTGCTAGGGTTTTATTAGATGCTGAACCACGTAGTTCATCAGTTATGCTATTCAATCGTTTAAAGTGGATACCATTTTATGACTCTACTAAGATGGCTAAATGTTCAATACTATTTAAAAGGATTAATTATTGTGTACCTAATTATCTTAATGATAGCTTAAGATTATTAAGTTCAGTACATTCACGCAACACTAGATTTTGTAAATACAACTTTTTATTACCTAAGTTTAAAAGGGCTAGAGAAGGAGGGAAAACTTTTCTAGTTTCTGCCATAAAATTATGGAATCAGTTAAAGCCTGAATTAAAAAAGTCTAATACACTTAAGGCCTTTAAAGACAACGTATTTAAATATTACTATAAGGACCAATCATGCTTAGCTCATTTTAATCCGTAAATTTTATTGATAGTAGTTTTATATATTCTTACTTGTTTTAGCTAATTTTCTATTTATATTTCATTCTATTAATGATTCTATTGTATTTATATATTTATTGTAATTAGGAGGACCACAAGTTTATTAGTGTTTGTGCACTATCACGTGCTATCCTCAATAAATAAAGTCTTTCTTCTTCTTCAAAGACACAAGACCAATGAAAAAATTGATAATCACAAAAGTTACTTAAAAATTATCTTTGTTTGCAACGTCAAAATGGTAAACTTTACTTTAACTTCACGCTTTTTTCACACATTTACAATCATCAAACATTAATGTCCGATTTTAGACAAAAGTGCCGAATTTAGACACCAGTGTCCGATTTTAGAAACTAGTGTCCAAGTTCAGACACTCGCATCCGATTTTGGACGCCACTGTCCTCCGATTTTGGACATTAGTTTCCGATTTGAGAGATTAGTGTCCGATTTTGAACCTTGGCGTCCGATTCCGGACACTATAGTATCTTGGATCAATCGATGTAACCTAGGAATTAATCGATGTAACCTGGGAATTAATCGATGTAACCTAGGAATTAATCGATGTAGCCTAGGAATTAATCGATGTAAGTCCCTTGAAAAGGGTCGAAAATCCACCTAGGCTTACTAAAACACTTAGAATGAACTTACCATCTTGATCAGTCGATCAAACAAAGTTTGTTCAAGTCCAACCTCATGGTCAGGCTCGGAGCCCTGAATCGTTGGACTAAGTTGCTACAAGGAAAGCAATCCAAGTGTTTAGAACTGAAATTCAATAAAAAGGGATGGCCAGGCAGAAGGATAACCCTTAAAAAAGCACTTACTTTTGGATCCCCGACCAGGACAAGCTTTTGGCATTCAAATCTGTAAGAAAATGGTACCAATAAATCGTACGTTTGTGCAATGTGTTTCTGTTTACTTTGTGTGTTGTTGTTGTTCTTGGTTTTTGGAAGGTATATTTCGTACATTAAAAGGTTGTTTAGCGTCTTGTTAATTGTTCTTTGATCTCTGTATGCCATGAATTTCATCAACGTGGTAGGATTCGTGCTGACGCATTCCGTTTACCAGCCTGAGGAACTAGAGCTAAGTCAAGTCCGAAAATGCAACCAGTTGATCGCCGATGTTACTACAAATTTGCTCTTGGCGATCATGATTCTTTTGCGCTTTAGCACTTATGCACGTTCATATGTTAATCGTCAACGAGCAGAAATACGTTTCATGCAAAGAGAAGTGTTACAAACTAAATTAAAACTACAAATTAAACCTTTCTGAGGTGGAAAAACACCAAAGAGAGATGGACAGACCTAAAATACAAAGTAAGGTCTTGGATGGAGAAAAATAATGATGTATTTCAGGGTGTAAAGTCGAGCAAAGGGGCACGTACCTAGCCATTGGGAGAAGAGACGCCGGCTCTGTCATCTGACTGCACTCGTCTAGAAGCAAAACCTAATTAGACAGAAAAATACGCACATTTTAGATGATTGGACGGTCTTCGATACGCCTGACTGTGAAAAATGTCTTCATACAAATAAAAAGCAAAGGAAAAGAAACAAGCTAAATAGTAATATGATTGCTTCAAGATATCGCAAGGTATTGGTTTTTAATGAGTTTGAAATGAAAGGAAATAAAATTCCAAATCACCGATAGCTTGAAAAGAACCAAAAGCTACTCTTTTAGGGAACGCGCGGAGACAATTATAGCAAGTCAGTATGGCCAGATGTGAATTATCACTCAAAAACACTGTTTAAAACCAATGTACTATTAACTTTACCGGAAACTTTAACTTGTCTAAACAAGGAAACACACAGGCGGCGCAGGTTACTCCGACCACTGGCACCTGAGATAATTTCTATGAAAAAAAAAAAAAAAAAAAAAAAAAAAAAAAAAAAGGAAAATTGTACTAATGTAAATTTCTTAAATTTTCAACTCTGAATATTGCATTCCTGATGTTCTCATTGGTCCACACAACTCCTGTTACCAGCTCATATACTAAGTCACCTTATATAGAAATGCATTGCGCCCAGTGTTGCGAAGTTGAAAAAAAGGTTTAAATATCCAAACGTTCAGTACTCAGTAAAATTTGATACAAAATATTTTCCATTTGCAATTGTTAGATACAAGCCTGATTTCATATGATTTCATATCCAATGCGTGCTCAAGGAATAATTGTTAAATGACATGAAGTGTAGCATATAACATCAGTTTAGTTTTGTTATTTTTGTTGCTTCCCGTTTTTAGTCAATTCCAGGAATAATGACGATACACTGAACCTTCCACTATGCTGCGCATCAGATCGAATCTAGTTGTGAAGAACAAAGACTAATGTTTTAGTTTTTGCTTTCTATTCTGCTTTCCGATCGAATATTGCAGCTTATATTTAACGTAAGTGGGTGGTCTAAAATTTCTCCCTCTCACCCAGAATTATGTTTGATTATCAAAAATTTCTTGGGAACCAGAGAGACACTGATGAAAGTGAATTGCCTGCGGTGAGAGAGGCGCGTGACGCGTGATTAAACACAAAATAAATTCGTGGCGCGTGATGGAACTAAAAAAATTAACACGTGACGCGTGAATTTTACAGAAAGGCGAGGTAAGGTAAGATTTGAAAGTCTACATTAGAATTCGTGACCCGTGGAAAATTATTTTCAGTATACGTGACGCGTGAATTGTTCTAGAATTCGTACGTGAAACGGGATCAGAATCACACTCTTGGCTACCCTTCACGGTGTAGGACGGATTAGCTCTACATGAAGCTGAGAAGGAATACACCAGATCACTTCATGTAGGAAAGAAAGAGATAGGTAAGTTGGCTTCTCGGTTTGCTGTTGCCTTACAGCTGAATTAAGGGAAAAAAATATTCCGCCGTTTCACAGAGTACTCTCAACACAAAGGTGAATAAACAAAGGGAGCAATAATCCCAGTTATCGTGAGATCTATATTCAAATTCATGAGAATAATATGAATGAAGTCAGGAAGCAGTTCAGGCGAAAGTAAATCGATTGTACTCAGACGTAATCAGATAATTTTTATTTTATTGCACAATAGGCGGAAAGAGAGCAGACGCGAAAGGGACGGGGAAAACATACAGCTATCAGCTTTTAAGACCCTCTTAGATAGAATATTAGAGGAATATAGGTAAGGACTGCACAACAAAGATTGTAAAAGTCTTCATAAACTAAAAAATATGAAGAAAAGCAAAAGTCGAAAAGCAAATCAACTTTCCAAATTTATTTGAGTTAAATCATGCAATTGTATTTCTAATCTTCTTGACTTTGAAGCCATAATTCAAATGTGTGTTTAAGCGTCGGTGATAGGTAAAGTAATCAGAAGCAACAAATCATATTTTTGGCAATTATTACGTTTTGATTAAACAAAAAAATTCAATCTAAAATGTATGATTTTTTTGCTAATTTGTTTCACACTTCAGATAAAAAAAATGCAAAGAGCAGTTTTTAACTAGCTTCCCTTCAAAGTATTGACAAGTTAACCTAAGCTAAAACGTTCAAAACATGGCCAGGAAAATTTTGTTTAATCAAACAAATCAAACTTTAGTTTAAGTTAAATGCGTCTTCGAAGTGTAAACAGAAAATGATGTAGGTCATCTTCGTTACTTACACAGCTTTATTCAAATTCAACGAAGCCTCAAGTGTGTTGTGAAGTTTGACCCCATGGCTGATAACTCCAACTCCACCGTAGAACCTCGCTTCTGTTTTCTCGGAAATGATAAAGTAGTAGAGGTAGCTTTGGCTGTCTTCTATAGCGTTATAGCAATACTGGGAATCACTGGGAATGCTTTGGTGATCAATGTCGTCCGACAGAACCGTCACATGCGAACCACTACGAACATTATGTTGGTCAATATAGCAGTGTCTGATATTCTCTCGCTAATCTGGTCTCTTCCAAAGCGTTATTTCGATATCGTGGACGCACACCCTTCGGAAGAAATGGGGAAGTGGTTGTGCAAGTTTGTGACGGCTAGCAACATGGCGGCTATTACGTTGGCGGTATCCGTGTATACGTTGAGTTTGTTGGCAATCGAGCGCTATCATTCGCTCGTCAAGCCGTTTCAACCGCCATGGATAAATGAAAATAACGTGGTCTACGCATTAGCAGCAACATGGGTAGCGGCGAGCGTCGCACAGATCCCAGCGTTCATTGAAACGACGTTTAATGAAGTCAGATGCAGTTGTGAAAGTCCGTGGACGAGCAACGACACGGCCCGTTCCATGCGAGACGCCGTGGTCGTTATTATCACGGTGAACATTTTTTTCCCAATCATTATCATCAGTTTTTGCTACGCGTTAGTCATCAACGCACTTCATTTTAACAATGCGAACAGCGCAAGGACCTTTGATCCCAGAGATCTCCAATCGAAGAGGAAGATCGTGAAACTTCTGATGATAGTAACAGTTGTGTTTTATGCATGTTTTCTCCCGTTTGGTTTGTACATGATGATTCTGGCGTCGAATTACGCGGATAAGCTCAGTGATGACGGAAAAAACGCACTTTCAAACGGCTTCGAGGTTGTCAAGCTTCTAATGTACCTGAGCTCTTCCCTAAATCCTGTGTTGTACGCATTTCAAAGTTCTAATTACAGAAACGGCTTTAAAATGTCTCTCCCGTGCTTGTTTGGACTCCGCGTTAGAGTTAGCGCGGAAAACAGCCGGCAAGTCGGCCTTGCAAATATTCAAGCATAATCTCCGCTCTTTAATGAAAAGATAGTTTTTTCACCTTCACATTGCTGTATGTTTGTGGTAGGAAAACTGAGTGAATTTATTCGTACTGAGTCATGAACTGTGCGGGGTAAGAATAAATTTTCTCTTTATTTCGTGCAAGAAGTCGGTAACCAAGTACCACAAATCTTCAATTTGATAATGTAAAAGTTTGTTTTAACTCGAAACTGTATTCTAGCACTTCATGTCAAAATAAACAAATACAACTGATTTAAAAATTTCCATCCAAATGGTTTCTGGGAAAATAAAGGTTAACAGGCTGTTTCGACCAGACGGAAAAAAGAAAGGAAAAACGACCCATAAGCCCATAAAAATCAATTACCATTTGGTAATGATTACTATCGGTTTTAAATGTGCAGAAATTGTTAACTGTTGGAGATTTTCTTAACTGCCTAACCTACTTAGCGTCGAGACAAGTGCGTTGACATTGCAGGTGGAGCATGAGTGAGCGGTAAATTATCTTGTTGACGTTTTACAGGTAAAACAACAGACTGAGCAAATAAGAAAAGGCGACGGCCGAAGTTTTCTTTCATAATTCTGAACAAAAATTGGAAGATAAAAAACGTCATGCCATTCATTTTACAATTAAAAAAATTAGAAATTTATGGACATTGAGAATTACCCAAGAAAGGACTGCACTTAAACTCATTACCTACCGTAAAATTCATCTACTGCTGTTTTCTTGATTGAGAGAGTAGAAAACTGTTACTGAGATTTAAAAGCTGCAAACCAACCTTAGCAAAAAACATATCAAAATACGGACAAACAGCAAACACCATTTTTCTTTCCCGTGATAGAGAAAAACAGAAACAATTTTTTTGTTCGTTTGTTCGTTTGTTCGTTTGTTCGTTTGCCTGTTTACTTTTCTACTCACTCGTTTATTTTCTCCCAGCTTGTGTTGTTCAATACCTTTCCTCACGTGGCTAAAATAAGAAAGCATCCACAATTTACACACATTGAGAAAAATGTCACAACAAAGTCAAACAAGAAGGCGGTTTAGTAACCTGTTCCTCTTCAAAGCAATGACCGAGAGAAAGTCAAATAAAGCACGCTACAGAAGTGAACGTAGGTTTCGGTTAGATTTCATTCTCTATGCAATAACATGTGCTTACGTTCTTTCCGACGGGGTAAGCTCAGTCTTCAGAAGTGACTGTAGTTCTTTTAACTCTTGGCTATCACTTCCTGTACTATGCACACTGTACGGCAACACTGGCTTAGCGATCTTTCTAATGCTTCCCACACGAACGAACTCTTCAAAGCCAAGGTCAAGTAATCTAAAAGGGAATAAATAAAGATTTCTGAAGCCATCACCATTCCGGTAATCTCAGCGTGAAAACAAACAAAAAAATGACGATAAGGAAAATCTATCTATCAGCTTATTTTAGATTATAATCTTTTTTTTTTGGATCAATGTCAGTATGCGAGCAACTACACACCTACCCATCCCCTAACCCAAAATTAACCCTAATTTTTTATCGGTCGACTGTTGTTAGGTTAGGAGAGAGGTGATCGTGCAGTTGCTCAGATACTAACACTAATCCGATTTTTTAATCATCAGATTTTACCCTAACAAGATGCGATCCACTGCTACATTTGTTGTGGAGGATACCAAAATCTTCCATGATGACACGTTGTCACTGGGAAGCAAAAATGAAAAACATAAGTATAGATACGAAAGTGTCGGTGAGATTATAAATTGGAAGGTACACGAATAAGCAGCAAACTTCAAGGAAATCTCCCGGAGATTTCCCTTGGTCTTACTTTAAGTCAGGTTTGTTTATATGTTTGACATTTAAAGCATATAGAAGTTTGAACTGACACAAAGGTGATGTTACCTTTGTTGATTGAAAGAATCGTTGGCTTTGAACAATTCCACCAGGTAGAGAACCACGACTGCAAGCAGAAAACTTTTTCCCGCTCCAAAAACACCTAAGAGAAAGAAGAGACCGCCGTTATAGCACACTCAAATCTTCCATATCTTGTTTCGGTACTATGATTATACTGTAAAACAAACATGATCGATATCAATAACTAAACTTAAACATGGTCATCATTCGATGATTTTTTCGCTTATTTTCATTGGCTAAGAAACCATCACGTGACCTGAAAATAACTATTTGCAAAAAATAGTCAGCATATGCGTAATACCTCGGAAATATACCAATCGATAGATGATCTCATAAGCTCTGTTTGTTATTAAAAATTGATTTTACTTTTTGCTAAAGCAGCGTTCTCTAGTTTTTGAATACAGAATCTTACCATGTATTAAACAGACTGGTGCTGAAGACCTTTCCGATTCCGATGAGAACATAAGTGCACAGGACAGCAGAGCGGCGGCTTGATCCTGCAGAAGGATAATTACCCAAATGTTAACTTACTTGCAAGAATTACTGCAAATACTAAGGAAATCAACTGTATATTAATATTTACAACAAACCTTGTTCAAGCCAAAACGAGCTATCATTTCTTCAGCAATGCTTTCCTGAAGCAAAAATAAAATTATTGTTACAACGTCCACATAAATCCATAAGTGCTAAGTGTTGGTATTATCTACATGTAGTTTGTATGTTGGTTTGTGTTTTATTTAACTATTTTCTGCCTTTGGGCGTGGAAGAATTGATTGTGATGGATAGAATTTTCGAAATATTAACTTTGCAGCCTCAGAAATTTTTCGCAGTCTCTCAGTCGTTCAAGACAGTTACAGTTAACGTAAAAAGATCTTCATTTCGTATTCACCTACTTCACTTCAGCGGGGTTTTAAAAAATTGTCGTTTCCATAACTAACCAAGACTTCAAGAGTAAATAACGAGAGAGAGGCCAATTGAAAGAAGCAGAAGAGAGGGGAGAGGGGACGAGGGAAGGGGAGGGAGAGGGGGAGGGGGGAGACAACTGACCGAGGAGTTTTAACACTGATTTCTATTTTACTTGAACCGTTGGCGGTCGCGTTCCCGCAGCCTCTCCAGACACCCAAATTAATGTTGAGCTTTACATTTCTAGCGCAGAGTCCTCAAGGCATCAGGATTAGAAGCAAAATAAATCTGTCACAAGGAGACAACGTTAGCCTACCGTTACTTCACGAGGAAGGTTGAGTGGACCACTGGAACCTGTACGAATTGGCGGAACAAAAGAAGCTGCTCTTGAGGCGCATCTGATGCTTGGTTGCCCCGTCAGTCCTCTGATAAAAAAGCATAAAGTCAATATGTATGTGAGCCCTCTCTTTTTCTTTCTAAGACAGAAATAAAGTAACTGGACGAAGGGGTCGTCATTTTCGTTTAATGCAAGAACCCAAATTGCCAGCTCAAACAAAAATAAATACCAAGGGTTTGGAAAAAAAATTGCCAACCAATTCCATCGTGTAAAGTTTTGTGTTTATCGCGAGATCTTTACTTGTCTACATCATAGGTGATTCGCGCGGTTAACAAATTCGTGCCCTGATTCACCCTCTTGAATAAAAATAATTTCGCTTGGTTAGAAGAATTCAATTAATCAAAACCGTGACCGAAGTTTGGATATCTCGTCACAAAGGAGAGATTCTACGTCGCGTACTCTGATGAAGTTTCTACAACAAGAAAAAAAAGAAACACCTCAACCTTTCAAGGGGAAAACCCCTTAGTTTAGTACGATAGAAAAACGCCGAAATGAGTAGAACACTCGGGTAAAGAACAAGAATGAAGCCAATCACCAGGGATTGCGAATGACCACATTAAAAAGTTTAGGGTAAATCTTTTAAGTTATATGACCTGTGACGGAGCTTCTTTAACAATTATAGTAAAAGAATAAACTAGCCTAGACAGACCTAACGTATCTTAAGTAATAATATATAATAATATTCTCGTAACATTCTCGGCTTCGCCTCAAGTGCCACTTTTTCACTTCTTACCACATTTTGACGTCATCTGTAATCTACTACTCAATAGAACCAGGGTAACATTGAATCTATTTGTTCATGAGACTATATATTATCACATTTCCAAACAAATAGGATCTTTTCATTGAAAAAAGCGGACACTAGTAATGAGTTCCCACCTTTGCAGAAGGTACGGTAACACTGGCATGTTCTGCATCTTGACATGTTCGTCAATGTTACTAATACAAGTCAGTTCTGTACCAGCATTGCAGGCCATCAAGGCATGCACGGTCTCTGTTCAGGGAAAAGATCCATTTATATTTAACATGTCGAACATCGCCTCCCTGCTTTTAAGACACAAGCAAGGAGGTGCTTTTCTCTTTTAGAAACCTCTGACATAACGTGATTTGAAGTAATAATGACAGGGCCTCCTTTGATACCACTACTTATTGCACTGACGGGGTTATCCCGTATAAATATCATTACGATTATTATTTTAATAATAATAATAATAATAATAATAATCATAATAATAGTAATTATTATTATTATTATTATTATTATTATAACACAACCCACCATAAACGACTATGTCAGTCAAGACGCTTTTGAACGACACTCCGATATCTTTCGTTTATTCCCTTGTGAACGAACTTTGTTTTGTTAGTTTGCAGCTAACTATAAATATTTTGCACAAAACATACAGACAAACAAAAACGCAAAAAAACTGAGTTATCTAACCTCCACTTTGCCAGTTTGAGGGAGAATATCCACTAAAACGAAAAGAACAAAGTTATCTTACAGCATGCGCGTTTTAGGAACACCGAAAAGCAAGATTCAAGTCAACAGAGACGCTTAAAAAAATAAAACAGCTAAATAAATTTCTATTTAGTACAGTGAACATACGAATGTTTGCCACACACAATCAATAAGTCAATCTATAAGTGCAAAAACAAAACGTGGTGACTTTTTTAATGTGAAACTGTATGTAAGCAGTGTTATGAACTGTTACAGGCCTTCCTACAACGGAGGCGAGCGAACGACAAGCAGTTTAATTGCCACTGACCTGATTGGTGATAATTCTAGCTCTCCGCCGGACGATGGTCCATAATAAACACTGCTCGCTATAAATGTCGAATCTGGATTAAAAGACAAAGTCTTTGAAATGATCCAGATGTCATCTGCAAGGAAAATTGACCATATTATTTCAACAAGAGAGTATAAATTAAGAAATCATTTTTAAAATCTAGAGGCAATCGCATCGGTATGCCCTTAAAACATCCAGCTATACGATTGTCCAAAGTAATAAAACAATCAGATGGAAAATCTAAACTACTCTCAACATGGTTACAGGCGGCTGTGAGCCCTTCACGCAGGTTACGTTGGGTTTGTTTTTTTCGTTTTTGTGGTTGCAGCTTAAATAACAGCTTCCTTGAAACTAACGGCTGGCGCCCAAACATGCAAAGTGAGGGTTGTTAGTAAGTAAGCTCACCTTTTGAATAAGTAGAAGAATGATCTTTTCGCGAGAGTTCCAGATAGAGCTTTTTCTTCCCAGCAGTAGCTTCATCGCATTTTAGCCTTCCCCATTTCTAGAAAATATCAAAAAGGACACAATGTAGACACACTATACAATTTTTCCTCACTTAATTTTCACTAAGCCAATAACGCTGACGGGTGTGTTACGTTAGGGCGTTACCTTAGCCTTTGCTGCGCCAAATCTTCCTTTCCCAGCATCTGATTGTTTCCTTAATAGATGGCACTCACCATAAAACGCAACATTCTAAGGAAGAAACAAAAAAGATCATTTAGTAAAATATATATAGCTTAACTTAAAGTTACAATCGTGTTGTACTTGTGAATTTTTGCCATTAGTACTATGATTCTTTACTTTTTGTGTGTGTCCTAGTCTTCTTCATTCCAGTAATAATAACAGTTCAAGTCTATTTCTCTTTGTTGATGAATTTGGCTGACTTACATGACTTCTGAAGAAAGACATTAAGCTGTCAGCGGATGACAGTATGATCTTATTTGAAGACCTTCGGTCCGTTCCCTCTGATGCTGACTTGCTGGATTGGTATTCGTCGGCCCACTTAAAAAACTGAAAAATTTTAAAATGATAAGCGCACATAATATTTCCCCCAACACAAACACACCTCGTCCTCCTACGTCCCTTGTTGACGTGTGCACCAAACTACCTGCCCTGAGTTTAGTTATTATTGAGATCCTTGCAAACGTAAAGCAACGGCTTCCCAATTTGCCTCACTTGCACGAAACGTCGGATGAATGTAATGGTGGAAAAAAGTGAAACTTAAAGGCACATGAGCCTTCATTTCCTGAAAATAAACCTGGTATCAATTATGCTTTGCCTCATAACTCGCACTCATTCTGGGCACTTCACACTCATATACCGTTGTTGAACTTTGTTAATCATCCACTATAAATAATATCAGACCGACAGTTATCCAAGAGGTATTATCTGGTCTAAGGATATTTCTGAAAGCTTGCAGGAATGCAAGAAGAATTAATTTACTTCTGTCTTATATCAAAAAGAGTCCATTTTAGAAATTCTGTCCTGCCAAAGCATATTCTGATTGGAGTAATTTTCAGCTGACAACTCTCCTAGTCTCCGTCACAGCCGCTCCTCGCGATTTCACACATTGCGAGTCACATGACATCCCGGCTGCGAAGAACAACACAACTTTGCTAAATTGATTATTTTTTCACCTTGCACTGTGCTTGTCCTGTTCCTGGGCAGGTGTAAAATAGACGCCCCTGCGTAAAAAGTATATGAAAACAATAGAAGTGACAACCTGCATGTAACAATATCCAAAATTCCCTCGACCAAGGATTAAAGAGAAAAAAATTGGGAAGAAAGACAGATGTAGACTATCATGCCACGTCTATATCCAGGATCGGTCAAACAAATAAATTATTTAGACCAAGGACCAAAGAAAAGCGACGGTTCAAAAAACCGCGGGTGAAAGCTAGATAGAACTCGAGCATGGAAAAAAAAAAGAAGGCTGGGAGGAAACAGGCGGGAATTTTGGCACAATGTCTGTAATAGTGGTCACCTGTACAAAATTAACCAATCATATCATGAGAAACTATTCCTATGAACCTCTGTACCACTCAGTGCTAAGGATTAGATGAAATTAAAAGATTGTATTCTGTGATCGGATTGGTCAGTTCCGATTAAGTGAGCCGGGCAACAATAGTCACAACATAGCGACTTGTCATAGTACACGGAAAGGTTACTGACCTTATTTGGACCGTCTTTCTTTACAGCTCTCAAACGTGCTTGGCCTTAATTGAGCCAAAACAAATGATAGTGATTAAAACTTTTGCTAAGTTGAACGGCCTTCAATTTTTACCCAAAGTGTTCACCTTGGCTCTGACTCTCTTGGATTCGTTAAAAAGTGGAAGAAGGCGACGTTTTGGCTAAGTCGGTTTTTCGTTTTTTCGGTTCCCCATTTTTCACCTTGTGCGAGTGTTAAATCAGTGGTGTTTTCAAATTCTAGAGCATTTATGTGTACATGAAGGAATGCATTCCGATCTTTAGTCGCAAAATTCTTCAAAGGAGAAACTGCATTGGGTATTCAATCCTCCTAAACTAGAAACAAGCGCAGTAGATCTATATTCAAGCACACCAATCTTAGACGACCTTATATCATCACACCTATGTTTTACAATGCATGGCGTTGATTATAATGCAGGTATTTATGGCAATTTGTTATGATTCTGATTAACCGTTCAAGGTTCACCTGATTAGCCCTTCTAATCACTTTTATTTTGGTTTTCCGAGACTGCAAGGAATCCAGTATAAAACATATATCTTAATGATAGTTTATTTTTTGTTTTTTGGTCATCAACTCCGAGAAACGCCTTTGTTATTTTAAAGTTCACTTATGAAAAGAGTAGAAGTTGAATTACAAATTAAAGGAAAGTATGCAAGAATATTACCATGATGACAACTGGGACCATCTGAGTTTTCTCGACTTCCTGTAAAGTACGCAACAGAATAAATAAATTAAAAAAATTTGCATCAATGAACGTCAAACATTGTAGCTGAATATTCATAGCCTGCCTATCGCCTTTTCTCCAGATTCAGCTTTGAAAGGTAGGAAATAGAAAGGGAAAATAAACAAGGTCAAAGCGAAAACAAGCTTTCCTGACTATGCCACCTTCAACCAAAAAGAGATTCGAACAAGTCTGTTTAGCTACGAAGAAATCACACGGCCCAAGAAGCCAAGTCTTGTTCGATATGTGTTACCAGGTGTTACATCAAAACTTTGCCTCGTTTTGCAAATGCCCCTCCCCTAAGTTGACACTGAAACAAGGCTACTGCCAAACAGTGCCTATTGTTACAAAGCCTACGAAAATTGCCGCACTGACTGAATTGTGTACAGAACAATTTACCTCTAGCTTTATCATTGTGATAAAATCATCAAGTTAAGTGATTGTGCACATGATACACTATACCATACCTTGCTGAGCGGTGTCATATCCTGATATATCAATCTTCTGAAGAGCGGTGTGGTAAGTTCGGGCCAGCTCAAACAAAACTATGTTCAGGTGCTCTATTTGTTTACCAAAATGATACTTTTATTAGTTATTCAAAACTAATTAACAAACCTCATATGAATGAGATGTGTACCTGTAACTATATTTTTTTGTTTGCTTGTTTGTTGCTTTTTCTACAGTTGCAGCTTTTTTCCAGTTAATTTTTTCCTTTGTTTATTTTTTCACGTGCAAAACGCAGTAGGCAAGAGTCTCTGCTAGTGCGGTGATAAACGAAGTTCGAATGCACCCTGACTTTAAGTCACGTACATAAATAAAACATACATGATCGGCACGAGGTTCGATTATATTGAATCTATCTATTTTTATGAGAAAAACAAAGAATCATACGAAATCCTAAATATATGGTCTCTCTCTTACTAAAGTTATTCATTCTGTACCATGACTAATTACAAGTGAAATCACAAAGGTGTCCTGTTACCTCTCAAAGCCGCTTTGAAGACTTGCTTATACTGCGTGACATTGTCGAATGTAACAGGGACAGTCACATGTCGAGTCGGCGTGACACTACCATTACAATGTTCGGATGATGGAAAAGACAATTCCCCAGCCATGTTGCGCTATTTCGAGAGATGATAATGTACAATTACCTTAGGGCACAACAACGACAACAACAACAGTAACAAATACCTTAACCAACCCTCTCTCTGATCAGTATACTATAATATTTTTCCCCTTTTTCTCAACAGTGCGAGTCCCTTTAAATATTTCTTCAATGTCATTAGGCCCCACTTACGTCTCCAGATGAACTTTTAGCAATAAAAACTGGTGTAGTAGGAGGTCTGAATCGCTCCTTAGTCTGACTTGGTGGTGTTCTTGCCTGAGACAACAAATCTTGACCACCTGAGGTGTCACATGAAGATCCTAACCCCACCCTCCTTAAACCTATACGTCGACAAGAGCCAAGTTTTACAGAATGCGTTGTATCTCGTCTTTTCTCGGGAAAGTTTTCCAAGTTCATATCGTCCGGTTGCCCTTTTCCCCCCTGGTGTGGTGCTTGTCCGCGTGTACCACCTGGTTTAGTTGTTTGGCGACAAACTTCAGGAAGTTCCGTTAAAATTGGCTCAGTCATTGTATGAAGGTATTCATTCGTGCTTGGAAAAACTGTCCGCGGCGGACTGTGATCACTAGGCGGCATGGTAATAAATGGACATTTTCGTCTTGGCTGTAAAGTGAAAACGAACACCGTCAGGAAACAGGAAATTCTTCTTTAATTGTAACTTTCTTGTAAAGTTGCAGCATGGCTCGATCTTGATAACTGACCGTCGATACACACATAGCGTTTTCTTCGAGAAGAAATCATTAGGGCTTCACACTATTGGCGATGGGCGAAAGAAAATGACACTCAGCAACTCGTGTCTTGTTACATCGGTTTCCAAGCATTGTTACACCATGAAGTTGTTAGGATTTCATGAGACGCGCAACGCAATGGCATGTATCGACAATCATTGAGCAAGATAGAGTCATGCGACAATTGTAGGGTTTCAGAGTCCCTCTACTTCCTGCACGACCCTTCGGCAAGATTTGCTTCATCTGTCATCTATGCACTGATCTCTCCCGTTATTATTAGTTTAAATCTAGCATTCGTTTTATTGCCAGAAGAGAACACTGTTTTTAAAACTATTGATCCGATTCAAGAGTGTGAGAGTATTCAATTTTTCTACCGCAATCTTGTAAACAAATAAGCTCAATAATCGAACTTGAAGTAAAATAATCCATACCAGTTGAGGAACACGTTGAATAGATTCAGGTAATTTTTGTAGTTTCGGAGTGATCCCTACAAATCCCTCCATGGAAGACAATGCAATACTTTCACTTGTGTCAAATCCTTGAGTAATCAGTCGAGGCACTGGGTCAACAGACGGAATCGAGTCAATCCAGTTGAAATCTGAAGTAGAAGCTCTTTTCTCCCCTGGAGGAAAAACAATCAAAATTAGCAAACTTGACTCTGTGCTACCCTGTTCTTGTTCCTTCAGTGTAAAAGACTACAAGTGACACCAGCTTGTATCGAGACTGAAAACTACGGTACAAACCGCTGGCCAGTGTTTTAAGGTCTTCTGAGATCGTTGGCAAAGTAAACGCGTGGCAAATGAGCGTGCCGTGAAAAAATTAAACTTCAATTTACCATTTCTTGGCTGATTGTAGAGATCTTGTCTTTGCACCGACATCATTGACACTCTCTTTGCAGTGTTGCTTACCACTGAACCTTTCCACGAGTGACCATCTCCTCCAGTGACCTAACGAAAGTCAAACACAGTATCGATAATGTTACACAAAAGAACTTTCAATTGAATGTCAAATGTGATTCAGTATTGCTTTGGTTTTGCTTTACTCCGCTCTGTCATTGTTCCAGAACCTCGCAGGACTCCCTCAAACAATCAGATTCAAAACTAGTCGCGACTCGGTTGCCCGCGTTTTCCCGCACCTCAGGCGGTTTTCTTGTTTTACGTTGAGTTCTCATTGGCCCCATGGGATATTTTCCTTTTCTCTGATTGGTTATTTTTGTTTTTGGTTTTACCACACTTAATCGAAATACTAGCAGAAATTCGAAAAAAAAACGGAGGGGGGGGGGGGAAAAATGACAATCAAGAGTAAAATTATCTTGTCTTGACCTTGTTTACTTTCCTTAACGAGAGCAAACACTAATAAAAAACATTTTTCCATAAAAATTTCTGCAAGCTAAAGATAATCGAAGAAATTCACGTACCATGAGGTCCCTCCCCTTCCACCCCCACCCCTACCCCCATAATTTGTCCTGCGACCAAGAACTTGCATTTCTCGGTGAGTGGCTCTTCTCACCAAATATGCAGAGCAAGTATCGAAATGACACGTCCACTTAAAATATTGTTGTATCTGAAGTGAATGTTATTATCATTAACCCTTTACACCCTAATATCAGTATCTGGGCAACTGCCCACCTACCCCTCCCCTAACTCAACAACAGTCAATTGACTACAAGTTAGGGTTAATGTTGGGTTAGGGGAGGGGTAGGTGGACAGTTGCTCAGATACTGATATTGATCCGCATATTTTCCATACTGTTCTCTATACATTTCCTAAGTCGCTAACAAGAAGAATTTGTTTAATTATAAAGAGCTTCTTTCGTTGGTGATCAATTCCTTTGTTCTCATGACCTTAATGTGTGATTCATGGGTGATATTGTGAGGAGAAATTAGATGCCAGTCACTCTTAGCGGTTAAAGGGTTAAAGGCACTTACCGTTCGGCTATTGTTAAGAATAATTTTAGTTGGCGCTTCAGGTGCAAGGTTCCAGTCATTCGTTTTCATAATTTCTGCTGGGTAGAATTCGGGTGATGCCTCAAGGCGCTCCATGAAATTCTCCTCTCGATCACCTATAACTTTTTGTTCGAATATCTGGTTGCATCGCTCCACAGGCCGTAATATCTCCCTTTTGTGTAAGTTTGAGAAGGATGGAATTGTGAGGTTGTCGTCTTGATCAGTTTGCAGAGCAGCATATGCAAACAAAGACCCAGGATGGTTGGAAAATTGATTTGAGTTCATACCAAGTCCTGAATTATGCGAACGTCTTTCTGAAGAAGACTTCTCTTCTAAAAGACCGTGTCTTTGGTGGATGCCCTTCAGAAAATTCAATCTTCCTTCAGCACAATTTGAAGTATCCATCTTCTCGTCTCCAGACTCGTGAGGATCTGATGGACAGGTTGAAAAGAGACTTGGAGATTGGGACGAGTGTAATACAGAACACGGATTGAGTATGGCAGCTTCATTAGGGCTCTGTAAATTTCCACAGTTCTCTTGATGTTCCTCCCCTAACAAGTCACAATACTCAGCGCTTCTTCCTTTCAAACCAACGGCAGTGCAGTATTCATCTCCCATGACATCTCTTTCTCCATCATTGAGGAGTCTCACAACGGGTGAGATGGACTCAGAATCATTCTCACACCAAAACTCAGTTCTCCTTACTGAAGCACAATGTTGTTTGCTCGACACAGGCTCTTGTGAGCCAGTTTCGCAGCTTGTAACTCCTCCATTAAAATCAAAGAGATCACTGACAGCAGCTCCCGCTTTCCTCTCATCCGAACAAGCCGCGAAAGAATCTGGCGACAAATCAAACGAGTCACTAAAATCTTGGTTCCATCCCAATTCTCCCTCGGAAGAATCATTGTCTAATTTTGCCTGCGGCACATCTGAAAAGGTAGAAATTCTTTTTGGCTGGGAATAGTTTTCTAAATCGTCCATATCAGGTATCGCATCACCTTTACCATCATTCCGCTCGCTAAGTATAATACCCCTCACAATATTTACATCATTCGTCTGTGCGTTTTCTTTACGGAACGGCATTTTTGGTGGAGGGATATCCTTACAGGATGAAAAGAGGGCGAGAATCTGGGTAGCATTTCGTTTGCTGTCCCGACCGCGCTCATTTTGAGTTTGTAAGTGAAGTTTACCACTTGAGGTTCCTCTGAAGATGCGTGAATTCTCTTTTCCAGTCCGTTGTCTCCGAGCTGCCATATTGGTAGGAACTCTTTGATCGTGTTGTTCCTCTGTCCCTAAGAAAGATTTTTGTTCTTTGTTTGACGCCTGAAGAACTGTTTGCATCCCATGCTGACGTTCTTCTCTTTGGATGGTTTGTAGATGTTGTTCTCGTTTGTTTGAATTAGAACTGTATATGTTGAAAAATTCCGTTTTACTTGGAGGTCTGTTCATGGTGAACCTATTATGACGCGGGATTGGATTTTCCTCTCTTGGCTGAAAGAGAAATGTAGGGTTATTTCGTAGAGAAACAGTTAAAATGCGGTATCTGAATAGGCAGGAAACTGCCTTCATGGGCAAAGAAAACATCAAATAGGAAATAGGTAAAAGACGAGTAAACAAAAAACCGCGGTCAAAAAAAATTTTGCCTGCTATCAAATATTGTGGGCCGTTATGTAACAAATTTTAGCCGCTGTTTAGAAAAAAACAGCCACATTTAACATTAAATAATTCATTAATTAACTAATAAAAGCCAACTTAAAAAGAAATGGCAAATTTTGTATAAAATAATAAAGGGGTAAGTTTCTAAAGAAACTGTGGTGCTGCGTCGGTGGGAGAGTAAAGCAGGTAATTTAGTGTTAACAACTGGGTTGAAAACGTAAATTAGCCACCGTAAAGGGTAAAAAAGCTGACGTTTCGAGCGTTAGCCCTTCGTCAGAGCGATGGCGATCATCGATCATCAGAGCGATGACGAAGGGCTAACGCTCGAAACGTCAGCTTTTTTACCCTTTACGGTGGCTAATTTACGTTTTCAACCCAGTTGTTAACACTAAATTACCTGCTTTGTATAAAATACTTAACTTCCATTACATTCAGATCCTACTGTTGTAATATCGAATTTACTACCAGGTCAGTACCGTTTTGAAAGATTGACTGATTGATTTAAATCTTTGGTTTGAGACCGCGTGTCGAAACTTGTAGTCACTCTTATCAGCTTAGTTCGTCTCGTGAAGCAGGGCTCTTGAATAAATGAGCTCTAGCAGGAAGATAGCTTACACCCATTCAAACCAAAGCTTAAACATGTTTCAAACCGTTTTCGTGAAACACAGTTTAAATTCGTTTTCTTCATAGAAGCTACTTAAAGCGATCTTTTTCGACTTCCAATTTAGCACCTACATAAATAACTTGTATTTTCAATACATTGAAAATACAAGCTAGTGACTACTTAATTCTTATAGAAAATTCAGTTTTTCAGTTCTCCTGGATTCAGTCAACTAAACCTGTTATGCTGGTGTAAATGGGAAGAAAGTTTATGTACAATAATGTGTCTTTACCTTTTTCATGTCTGGCTCAGTAGGACGAGATTGATTGGTTTGATTACCAAATGGTGGCTGGAAACTCTGGAGTGAACAAAAACACCAAACTTGTGATGACAAATGCCCATTCATAGAGTAGAGAATGTTGAGTGAAATAAAAGTGCCCATCCTCCCACACTTTCTTCCTAAACCAAAGCTTACATGACTAGGATGCAACTAGTGATATTAAATGCTGCTTCCCACTGAGTGATAGGCCTGTTCAATTCAGGTTTACCCTCAGCATTTTACCAGATTTCCCTGACACTTTGCTGGTAACTGAGTCTAGCCTCTTTCCCAAGAACACAACACATTGAACTGGCCAGGACTCAAGAGCCGTGTACTTACTACCAGCGCCCAGTCGTTCAAAGGGGCAGATAATGCCTTACTACAGGTAAATGATTTTCCAGCAGATAAGTGTAGCAATAAATGCAGCACTATCCACCAGAGAGAGATTTATCATGAGGATAACACAATTTGCCCTTCAAGCAACCAGAACCAGGTTACCATATCTTCTAGGAATGCAACTTACTCTTGTGTGAAACAAAAAATGTATTGCTTTTCTTCCTATCATGGTCACATTCATAAAGATAATAAAAGCAGACTGTTTAGATGGATCATATTCAATACCTGTCTTTTCCTCTTGCCTGGTTGGTGGACAACACTGTTCGACTCTTGTCTCTCTTCCTGAAATTTTTTAGCAGCTTCCTGGCTGCTGTCAACTGAATGCTGCAGTTTTTCTTCTACAGTTATCAGGTATCGGTCACTTTCCAACTCTGCTCCAGGATTCACCTGTTTTTACATTGAGTAATGGCAGACACAAAAAATTTACAATATCCATGCCCTATTTTCATTTCAAGTTAACATTATTCAGTCTTTTTGTGAGAAAATATGGCCATGGAATTAACCCTTTAACTCCCAAGATCTGATTGTCAATTCTCCTCTCTAGCTACTACACATGCCCTCGTAAATTATGAGAATTTGGTGTTCAATCAAGGTAATAAATTGCACCTGATAAGTTTGAGTATTCTCACTACCTGTTTACTGTATAATGTATGGATAATACAGGGCGTGAAATTAACTTTTTTTTCTGATAGCCACTTGGCTTCTAAATTCTTCAAAGTGGTAGCCAATTCAAAAAAGGTTGGTCACCATTTTCAAAGACAAACAAAATCTTTCTTTACGCTGTCAGCATTCTAGATAGACCCTCCAAAATTAAGTTAGGGAAAAGATCTTTAACGTGCTACAAAGTTGACACTAGGATGGATGATATACAACCTTCAGGCTCATCTAAATCCAAGATGGCGTCTAGTTATTGATCGAGATGCATGTGCTGCGTTTTGGAAACAAACTTAACGAGGAAGTTTGCTGCGGATTTATCTTTGCAAATCTTTTTAATTCACTATATATCTTGGTAAGGTTATGATGAAACGTTCTAGTCGCCAATTTGGCAACTAACTTTCAGGATTTGGTTGCCCAAGTGAAAAATTTAGGCGCATTGGCGCCTGTATTAGGCGCAATTTCATGCCCTGTAATATAGGGAGAAGTTACATGTTAATCACTTCTGGGGGTTAAAGGTTAACAGGATTGTGCTTTAGTGAACATGAGTAAAGTATGTATTTTTTTCCTTAGAACAAGAACTTAACCATCCAAAACAATTCAGTCATTACCAGTTAGAGTTTGCTAATGTGTCACACTTTGGTCAGCCTTCTGAAAAACTGAGTGGAATGCAAATACAAGACACAATCTTCATCAAGATACCAAAACTGACCTGTGCTACTTGTACAAAAAGAGAATCCAGAGTTTTGGACTCCTCGTCATAAAGTATTGCCTGGATATCAAATAAAAGACACTATGATAAATAGTTAAAATAAAATAAAATAAAAAAAAAAACTATTACAGTGATTGATAAGGTGGGGCTTACTAGACAGTCCTCTTTGACGCAATATTTATTCAGAGAGTATCTACGCTGTTAGATATGTACAACCCTTAAAGTTAATGATGAGTGTATCTAACAAATAAATAATAATAAAAGGAAAATGAAATACAATGATAACAACAAAGTAGTGACAATTAATTAATAATAGGATGGGTTTTAAAGCTGTAAAAGCGGAGATGAATGTTTCTCTCTCTTGCCTACAATCATTTCCATTCCCACCCCTTACTCATGCCCTTTTCTCTCTGGTTTCTGCACTTCTGTCCCACTTCACAATCAAAATAGGTAAGCAATCAAATTTCTTCTATTTTTGAGTGAAAAATGTACAGTTGAAGGATGATGGACAATAAATAATGACAAATTTAAAGCATGCAAAAAGCAAAAATAAGACCAAAAGTTTATAGCATACCTTAGTTCCTATAATCTTCAAAGAGCCATCCTAGTACAGGTCAGAATAAAAAATAAAAATAAAAATACAAAAAAATGGAGCCTTATAAAAGTCAGTGGAAAAGGAAAACTCATTTTATTTAAAAATAAAAACCATCTGAACTGAAGCTTCTCTGGATATCTATATATTTTTTTTTAATAGCATGATGGTTTGTACAATTTTTTACCTGCCAAGTCTTGGCTTTTTTGGTCTTCTGATGAGTGTAAAGGACCTACAGTATATGAACAGAACGGAACATCTGTCAAAGTTGGGGACAACTACACTGTTATATGAATTAAGAAAAACTTTAATTCCTATGAGTAATCACAATGGCATTTCTGCTACAATATCAAGACAATAGCAAGCAGACAAATGACTACATTAAGAAAAATACTAATCAGGGAATTATTAGTTGAACTAATACAAATTCTCCAAAATTAACATCATAAAAATTGTATGGCAAACAGCAAGGACAATTACTAATGAGATCTTGGGAGGGAGAGTGTTACTCTATTTATTTATTTATTTTTTTTTTTTCATAGGCTTTCTGGAGGCAGCAATACCTCATCACTTGCTCACCTTCCCTCGTTCAGGTGCTGATAAAACATTTGAATATAATAGCAGCTAGTAATAGCAGAGAGATTTACATGTATATATCCCATACAACAATTACTATTAGGAGAACAAAAACCAGGCCAGCAAATCACAAAAGAATTATGCTATAAATAAAAAATAATAATAATAACAAACAAAATGAATAAAGCTATTTCAATTTGGCCATTGTGCAGTTTAGCTAAACCCTTTACATTCTAGATAGTCATGGAAGCCATTCAAATACAAAATAATTAAGCTTTTATATTGGAGAGATTTTTTTAAAATCCCATGTAACTTTTTACGTGGTGTTTAAAAACTTCTCTCAACCCCCTGACAACTCACTCATTATTGACACTCATCAAATGATCTCCATGAGTACGTATCCACTTTCATAGGGGTTTCTTGACAAGATTTTTATCGTATTATTCACATCTTACTAGCGAAGAAAGAGTGTCGGAGTAACTACATGCAGTATATTAGCGATACATCCATAACTTTACTTGTACATGTATAGCAGAAGCTCCCGATCTGTAAAATCTGACCAACTACTATACAATCAAACATATGATAGAAAAATCAGCCTTTAAATTTGCTCAAGGAAACAAAGAACAGCATCGCTTCAATCACCTACCGAAAACTCATCCCAAGACATCTTGGAACGTACTGCTTGTAGTTCCTCAATGACTACTGGTCATTCACCGTCATCCCAAAGTTTCCTTGCATCCACGCAATTTTTGCAAGCAGGTAGGACGGTATCAAACGTAAAATTGAATCCAAGCTAACTTGCACTTTAGGTGCTCGTTTAAAACGATTCACAAAGCGTTAAAATCTCAAGCAATTTATTGCCGAGGCGAAGTTTAGTTAGCGCCATATTTGTATTACGCGGGATGTATTACTAGTTCCAGGCCTTGTCCTTTTTCGACGATTACGTCACATTTCAGCACTTTTGCAACATGGCTTCATTCGATGAATACTTGACGATCGGGAATATTTTCCTAGTCATCTTTTTCTTGCTCATTTTAAATCAACTGATTGTGCTGTATCAGTTTAGGAAAATGCCGCCGGGACCTCGTTTGACAAGCTTGCCTTTCATCGGCAATTTGCTGAGCTTTGATTCAGGAGATGGTTTCATGAAGATTACAGCAAGGTCTGTTTGCTAAGTGAACATCACTTTACCGTGGCAGTTTTCGTATCTTATTTATCTCATTGCGTTTACCTAGTTCTTTTGCTTCTTTTATTTGTGACTCGTCGTTTCTAAAGAATCCTACTAGTAGGGGCTAAGGGCCTCGTATTCTACAGTTGCTCCGAGATGAGGTCAAAAAGCCGTTCCAAAAGTATGTAAAGGGGTCATGGAATTATAAACATTCCGCATCTGTGTGTATGAGGAACGAGTCACGAAATGGTTGTTAAAGTAAAGCCCGCACTTAAAAACATTCACGAGAGGATGTTTGATGTAAAAATAAGTTAATATCCGCCACACTTTGGACAAACCGAATAATAAAAAGCAAAGGAAATAAGAAAAAAATAAATATCTATCAGCGATTGAAATCTTACAAATAATAGCTGAAAGCTAATTATGCAAAATTCATTGTCAATCAGATCTTTTGTTCAAGGGTTTTGTTTTTTAACATGACCATGCAAAATTTTCAATAACATTACAATTACTGTCATATTTTAGACATGTTTATAAACCTAAGTTATCTATCTGTCCAACTTAGGCGAAAAAGATTTCGCACGCTCAGCAAAATCGTTTTATGTTTTAAACTGTGACGTCTTTAAATTTGGAAGCGATCTTCGCAGTAATAACTCTACCAAAGCAGTATTGAAAATAAGTCCCGAAATATTCATTTCTTAAATCGTAGTTCACATATATGATTTTAATATAATTATTAACAGTCATTTATTCATCACTTCACGGGTTTATTGCGAACCAACATAATGGTTGGTTTAGTTGGTAGAGCACTGCATGCACCGCTATCGCAGAGGTCATGGGTTCAAATCCCGTACAGGCCTGTATTTTCACTACTGCTTAAGTAGTGTTCATTACTACGAAGATCGCTTCACATTCATTTCTTAAACCGCTTTTCACAGTGATTTTCATACATTTACAGTCACTAGTGTTGTCTATGTCAAAAATTTGAATTCTTGTGGCCTCTTACCATCAGTGGGGCATGAAATTATTGGTCAAATATCAGTTTTAGGCAGTACTTCGGCACGAGCGTTTCTTCGCTCGAATAAGAATACAAGGTTTTGATCATACTAGCCTGCAGTTCAGGCGTCTTATAAGCGCGAGCTAATGTTATAATACGGAAGCAAAAGGGACTATCCAAAAATATTTTGCAAATCCGAAAAAATATTTAGAATCGATATATTTTAGACAAATCGCTTCTGAAAAGTTTGTCAAATCAAGAAATCAATTTCAAATCCTGGTTTAATTCATAGATCCACAAATAACTTTCATGAAAATCGAAAATGGTTTACAATCCAAGAATCTTTCCAAAATCCAGAAAATCCCAGCAAATCAAGAAAAATATTTTGTCACGTGATACTTGCACCAGTGGTAAGCACTTTGTCACAATACAGCACATCGTGTCGCATTAGGTCGACTTGGAGTCACTACGCGAACGTACTAAACTGTAACAAGGGTATTGAGATGTTCTGCCACAAATGTGGAAAAGAATTTGTGAGCAATGAGCTATTCTGCCGTCGATGCATTGTTCAGTTTTTAGAAAAAATACCATGGTATTTCTGTGAACTTGAGGACTTCAAGGAGAAGGTTGCGTGAGTTTGGGTTGAGAAGGAGAAATGAAGTCCATTCAGAGCACGAAGTTTGGGAGATAATTAAACGTGAGATCGAAGGCCCTTCATCACTTCTTTTTCTGAAAACTGAGCAATAGTATCATAACGAAATCCTCTTCCAAAGTAATGTTCAATGGCAGATGCCTCATCTGACGCACTGTGTAACACATTTTTTTGTTCGGGTCTCTTTTAAGTTCCACATCGACGGCAGAATAGCTCATTGCTCACAAATTCTTCCCCACATTTGTGGCAGAACATCGCAGTAGACTTGGTACAGTTTAGTCCGTCCGCGCAGTGACTCCAAGTCGACTGTATCGTGACAAAGTGCTGACTACCGGCGCAAGTGTCTTTGACACAGTTTCTGGTTCTGTTTTCTCATAGCTTGAGGAAGAAGTACGGGAGAGTGTTCTCAGTGAAAATTGGAAGCTTCAAAGTTGTAATTGCCGGGGATACAGCTTCAGTCAAAGAGTTGCTTGTACGAAAGTCTGCTGATTATGCCGGGAGACCTCCTCTTCATAGCTTCATGCGTTCTACTTTCGGTATGTTGAGCTCTTAGTTACAATATGTGATTTGTAAACTATGTATAAACTAAACATTGAAATTAGACAGTTCTGGAGTTGCGGTGCAAGAAATTCTGGAAATTGGGGTTATTTGGAACCAATTAGAGAAATCAATGATTATGAATCAGACACTGGAAAGGGTAAAGCAAAAAATTATTCTCGGTGAAAATCTGGGGAGAGGGTTGCCTATTATGGCTATCTATGTAACAGTATTTATGGACGTGGAAGAAAAGTGACAACCGACGGATGAACAAGTAGCAGCTTTATACATAAAATTCGAATAATCGATTAATTTAGTTCTTCTTTGAAGGCGTAACAGTTCCTTTTTGACCCATTTCAAACTTTAATCATAACCATTACAACAATAAATGTGATTGGTACATTAACAGCTTTATTTTTCACTAATCATTCTGTACAGCTGCAATCGGACACCTGTTATCAGACAGTTAATGCAGCCAATAATACTTAGTCCTTTCAGCCAAATCCACCAACCACAGAATTAATCACAATAACCACAGCAACAACCACTTGTCCTATATAAAACTGTGGAATTTCCCAAATTGAGGAACTTTTCACTTAAGATATTGTCTCCACCAAAGACATTTGTCCTAAATGTATTTGTTGTTTTCAGAAATTGTAACGGTTATGATTAATTGGTAACGGGACTTCGTGTCGTCAAATTCCGACTGTAATCATATTTACTCGCGATTGACAAATCGGACTCCCGCTTCGTGGTCGTCCGATTTTGTTAATCACTCATATGATTGCAGACCGAATTGGGCGATACAAAGTCCTCCTAGCATTATTTACCCTTTGACTCCCAGATCAAATTTGTAATTCCCCTTACTTTCAACCGTACAATTCTTCTAATGTTAGTTCAGAGAATTTAATATTCGATCAACTACTTACCCCAAAATTGACATTTTTCTTTATTCTCATCACTCATCTGGTTGATATTGTATTGATATTGTGAGGAGAAATTCCTTCTTGGTCACTCATGGGAGTTAAAGGGTTAACGGTAAATTCTATCAGTACCCCTACATTACTGGTTTAACCTTGCGACAAACAATCAAACCCGCCATTAAGATTTAGATGTTAAGAATCCCTCGGGTTTCCTCGTGATCAAGACCAATTTTTCATATTTATCTTCAATTCTGCTTTCAAGACGGGAAAGACATCGCAGCAGGAGATTACAGTCCGGCCTGGAAGTTTCATCGAAAGATCTTCATAGCAGCCATTAGACGGTACCTATCTGATAAGCAGGTGGTGGAAAAAACAATTGCTGAGCAGGCAACGAAACTAATGCAGTACTTTGAAGACCAAAGTTTAAAGGATTTTGACCCTGCAAACGTCTTGATGGAGAGCATTGCCAACGTCAGTTGCCGTATCTTATTTGGAAAACGCTTCGACTCATCGCATTCTGATTTCAAGGAACTTCTCAAACTGAACGACGATTTCTTCTCTGATTATGACATTAATACACAAAGATTTCTTTTAGATTTCTTTCCTATAGCGAAATTCTTTCCGTTTCGTGCTTACCGACTCATGTACGAGATGATTGATCAGGTTTACGAAATTCTACGACGCCAGTTAAAGATTCAGGAGAAAGAGTCTTCCAACTCGGCAGAAGTTGACAGCCTCACCGGCAGTTTTCTCCAAGAAAAGGCTGCTGCTGAAAATGAGGTTGGTGCAGAAGAGAGAGCATCTTTCCTATCAGATGAATATATGCTGAGTAACATGAGAGACATGTTTGTCGCTGGTTATGACACCACTAGTTCTACCCTGCGCTGGGCCATTGCATTCCTTGTCCATCATCCTGAAATTCAAAAAGGAATACAAAACCAGCTGGATGAAGTGGTTGGAAAGGATCGGATGCCAAACCTAGATGATCTACCAAATCTTCCCCTTGTCCAGGCCATGATCATGGAAACGCAACGTCTTGGTAATGTTGCGGAAAACACTCTTCCTCACTACACGCTGAAGGACACTACACTAGCTGGCTTCAGGGTTCCCAAAGATACTATCGTATTTGCTAATTTAGCGCAAGTTCATCTTGATCCAAGCTGCTGGGAGAATCCGCACTCTTTTAACCCTCACCGTCATATTGACGCAGATGGCCAACTTATTACCAACACTGGTAACTTTCTACCCTTCTCAGCTGGTCGCCGGGTTTGTGCTGGTGAAGCACTGGCAAAGGTGAGAGAAATATGCCAAATTTAATTTCTCTACGTGATTCTGAAATCTGTCAAAAGTTACAATCTCTTTCATGCAAAATATCCATATGCTCCCTCTTTTTTGTGTTTCAAAATCTCACTTAATCTCATATGCGAGTTCTTGATACAATTAACAAACTGTTTTGTCCAGTTATGGATTTATAGAGTGAGTTTTGTTACTGTCCATAATATATATTGGACGACATGTTGGACAAGAGGAAGTGTTAATCAGCCATGCTTAAGCCTCTAGATCTGTTACTTGGGGAAACCCGGACAAACTAGCAAGTTCCAGGCGTTCAGTTAGTAACTAGTGGCGAAACATCAAATTCCGCAACAATGGCGGAAGAGTGAAAAAGCGAGCGAGGCTTGGGTCGGGTAATTACGCGGCCCGACCCAAGTCTCCCTCGTTTTTCACTCCTCCTCCAGTATCGCGCTTCGTTTTACCAACAGAAGGCCTGGCACAGGCTACAGACAGAAAGTCAACAGAAATCTTTCTCTTCTCGTAGGTGGAGCTGTTTCTGTTCTTGACGTGGATGTTGCACAAATTTACATTTCTACCATCTGAGGACGGCACTGTTCCTGACCTCGAGGGGCATACTGGTCTTACCCATTTTCCAGCCCTTTACAAAATTAGGGCCAAAAAACGATCATTGTAGAATGAAAATCGGTGCAAAAACTTAAGTCGGGCAATTTTTTAAGGTGGATCCTTGTGAGAAAGGCTACAAAGCTCAAAGACTGACCTAGTCTCGTATCCAGACCTTCCACGGTCAAGCGGTGGGGAGGTCCTACATTACAGTAACACGGTAAAATCTGGCGCGAGCTTGTTCAGTGATAAATGTACATTCAGCACTGAAGAATGCTTAAGTCTGCTTCTTTGTTTTCATTTAATAAACTGCATGAAATACATGTCTTTTGCTGCACTTGTCCATATCATCAATTACATTTTGGCATCATTGTGACCTTGCTATAGTAAAACAGCGATACGAACGTCGTTGTGTTTTTGTTGTGATGCTCGAGGCCTCATTGAACTGTAGACCAGAAGTTCCTCGGATAGTTTAGTTTGCTGAATGTGTAAGTTTTGTGAGTAATCTTGCCATTACGGGCCTTCTGCCCAAAAGCCAGTGGAGTGGACCGTCCATTAACATTAATCGGAAAAAAAATCAGACCATAAAACAACAGCGGAAACAACAACAGAGGAATTCTATTTATACCTAAATATCTATGAGGACGTCCAATAATTGCAAAACTAGACTAAACTACATTCACAAGCTCTGATTACATAAATATGATCTAGAGACTTCTTTCTTTTGTTCAACATTTATATTTCCTGGTGTGAACCAGCTAAAGATCGTAAAATATCTCCTTGTGTTCCAAGCGCGAAGCACGCCGGCCATTAACCCGAATGGGGATAAAGGTTCCATAACTTACAATACAGACCGAGAAAACGAGGTTGGTAAGATACTTATTATATCTCCGGGTTCAAAAAGAAGGGGAAGATTTTTCAATTCAAACAAACTTTTGAATTAAGAAGGCCACAAAGTGAACTACAGCCCGCTAAATTGACAAATCATTGCGTACATACTAACTGATAGACATAATACACCATCACCTCTTATGATTGCGCGCCTTGGTCTCAACAAATCACCAGACACGATCGCCAATTTACACTGAAGAAATGTAAAATGGTTTTCGTGTTTGCATAGCCTGATGTAAACACGCGGGAGGTTGGGAGAACACGAGATAAGCGTAGGAAACCACGACGCAAAGCGGAGTGGTTTCCAGCAACATTTTTATTCTTGAAAATGTAAAAGCAAAACCACGGAAACCATTTTACATTTCTTTTATAAAATAACTAAAGAAAGAGGAACGAAAACCGTGTTTACATACGCTCATGTAAAATGGTTTTATGGTCAATCAGAGCGCGCGTACTATTTGAATTATTTTATAATATATACTTTTGCTCAGTTGGTAGAACTAAATTACCTTGTGATAAACCCCACCCCCCCCCCCCCCCACCCATCCCTCTAACCTACGCAGTCACCCAGTTTCTTTAGAAATTCACCCCTTAACTTATTTGTTGCTAATCTAGACACGCAAATTCCTTTAAATATGATAATGGTTTAACCTCTCAGGTCTGAAAGGAATGCCATGATGGAAACTACATCTTCACGCAGACTGTTTTTACTTCTGTGTAGAACTCGTAGGATTCTTTAGCTCCTTCTCGGCCAACCCCTGAAGCTTTGAATCCTCCAAAAGGCATATTGAGATCACGGACCAGCCAGCAATTACACCACACTGTCCCTGCCTGGGGAATAGAAGCAGAGCCGTCTTTTAACGTTGTTATACTAAAATATCTGGCAACATTTTATTCTTGAAAATGTAAAAGCAAAACCAGAATGTGTTCAACGAAACTCCTTCTAATAAGCGACACAAATCTGCCTCGTAGTGTAACAGAGAAAAATCACAACACAATTCTCACAATGTTAGCGACCTAAAAGACATGTCATTCGTTTTGTCAAAACAGTGGGACAGCACTCGCTCGATAAAAAAATATGTTTGCACCGCACAATACAAACATTGAACCAAAAATTTGGTATCATAAATCGAAGTTGAATGTGACTAAAATACGATAGAGATGTCGAAAAGATAAGGTCAGGACACTTCTTAAACAAAAAGACCTTGCCATGAACTGATAGGTCCGTCAGCCGATTGGAACGTTAAAGTACGTGCCGCTCAGCAAACCTTTACTAATTTGTGTCTTGTACCTGTAAACGTTTTGATACTCGGTGAGTGCGTGAAAGATTCTCTGACCAAATCACTGCTGCTAGTCCGTACTTGACACCATTAGCTCGTTTGATAACCTGACAAGAAAAACCCACGGAAAAAAAAAGGTGAAGAAATTAAACCAGCAAACAAACAAAACTAACACAAAACAAACTACTCAAACTAATATTTAAAATTTGCGCTTCTAATGCATGGGAATTGCACGTGCGTCAGGCGCGCGTGAAGCTGCAAGACACGTGTCACTCATACCTCTTCCTCGTTTTCAAATGGTACAATTGCCACTACTGGACCTGTAAAACAGAAGAGAATCTCACACATAGACCTTACCATATTGACTGAGCAATAGCCAGTCAGTGCACACTCTATAGCGCATACAACCCTAAGTCTCTCTATGCCCATACAGACTGCCTTCTTGGCGTCACTTTTGAGCGAGAATTCTTTTATTTTCAATATGTTGTAAGGGTTAAAAAAGGTAGTTTGTATGAATAAAATAACAGCAATTAAGCCCGTCGTATAAAAAAGAGGTCTAAGAACTGCCGTAATTTTATTTTCAGTTAATTCCTTTTTCCTAACTCACCAAATATCTCTTCCTGCATGCAGCGAGTGTTGTCCGACAAACCGGTAATCACCGTGGGTCGCATAAAGTAACCCTAAAACGCAAACAAACAAGGAAACAAATGTTGAAAACTAGAAACAAACCTTCCATCTCCACATTAAAATCAACAAACAAAACAGAACTGTGCCTACTTCTGTGTGAGGATTAGGTAGTTCCAAAGGAGAGTCCTTTCCTTCGCCACAAACAATCTCTCCACCTTCATTCACGGCAAGTTTCACATATCCAAGGACCTTGAGAAGAAACAAAACGCCTTAGACCAGATATCGATAAGATACAAGGCACGGTACAAGTTACCACGAACATTAAGATTAAAATAAATAATTTGTCATAAATATGTAATCTTGATACACAGAATTCTTCTTTTCTCTTTTTCATTTTTTGCTATAACGAGAGCGAGAACCTTATCGGAAAAGCTATTGATAAAGTTAATGTTACTGATACGCTGCCGATTACGACATTGTTACCGATATCATTAATGCTACCGATATAACGATAACGAGCTAAACTACAGTATACAAGGCCATCACCAACCTAACTAACCAGCTCCAGGGGTTCGTTTGCTCTACTGCCGAGCTAAACAAGCAGCTACATAAAAACAAAGGGGGTAAATTTCTAAAAGAACTGTGGTGCTGCGTCGATGGGAGAGTTTAACAGGGTAATTTAGCAAAGCGAATAACGAAGGGCTAACGCTCGAAACGTCAGCTTAGAAACTCTTTACGGTGACTAATTTACGTAATTAACTCAGTTGATAATACTAAATTACCCTATACTACAAAAAAAAACCCTGACACTTCACGTGCATATAGATTATGCCGAGCCAGACGAGCCAAGAGATACGCTCCTTAAAAAATCAAAACCTGTATTACGTAGTTCCTCTAAATAATGATAACGAGATGCCGTTAACGATAAAACTAACGATAACAGTTGTGATTCCAAAAACGATAGCGCTTACGATATAACGACATCGATAACACCGCATGATAATGATAACAATTGCCTATGATAATGTAGGCATCCGTAGAATCGAATCTTATGGATAAATTTCCAAAAATGTACCTTGGCTAAGTGTTCCTTGCTTACCAAAGCTCCGACGTTGGTTGTTGGATCTTTTGGAGAACCAACCTTGAGTTGCCTGGTATAAATACAAGAGACAAGAGAAGGAAAAAGATCACTAAATCTCTAGAATTATTGTCGAGCCGCTTAAGGCTCTAAGTCTAAAGGTCTTTGGTCTCACTTACACCTGTTTACGGCCAATCCTTCTTCCCCTCTCCCCCCTCCCCCCCCCAAAAAAAAACAGTCACCCATCCACACCCCACTCCCTTCTCATAAGACAGTGAGGCTTACTTCTCTCTTCACACAACTGGTAAATTAAACAAATTCCAAACTCTCCTGAGCTTAATCTGATTTCATACAGTGGACCTTCTCTTTAATGCGACAAAAGTTTACACCAGTCAGAAATATTCATTTCTCTCTCATAATCTAAAATTGCAAAATGCTGTACCTGGTTCTTTCCACAAAACCCTCCAAAAACTGGTCATAAATTCCTTTTTGTACATAAACTCTACTGGTGCACAGACAGATCTCTCCTTGATTGGCAAAACTGGACCTGAAATACAAAATAAAAAAGTATTCATATTTCACCATAAGATATTTGCATTCATATAGCTCTTTACCTTAAGGAAAAACCTTTTCCCGCAAACAAGCCATGAATACAAAACTTAACACTATTTCTAAGACACCAGACTAAAAAATTAAGTTTGATTCAAAAGATTTAAGTCACACACATGCATGTAAGTTTGAAATTTTTAGGGATCCATATATCTTTGCCCAAAACATAATCAAACTCTTAACAACTACCAATTGAGTGTATAAAGGCACACTCAAAAAAAAAAAACAAACTGCTTAGTGATGAGAGTGTTTTGCAAGGTAAGTGTAAGTTAATGTGGAGCCTCATTTTTCCCATACACTTTGGACAGCTGCAATAATTCCATAGCCAACAAACTTTGAATGAAATCCTTAACACTAATTTTTTCTAGCTGCAAAATGTTTTTGATGTACATTACCACAAAAAATATGCTACAAATAGATAATTTTATAAAGTGTATCTAAATTATGATCTTACTCTGGACAGATAAATTACTAAACACACCTGACAGTCGTTGCTATGGACTTCTCTAAGTCTGCGTCATCAAAAATTATTGCGGCATTCTTCCCTCCGAGCTAGAAAAAAATTACAAATAAAAAATGAAGAATATGGATACTGATCTTAGGGCACAAAGGATTAAACTTGCCCAAAACATGCTCTCAACAATCGGAAAGCTTATTGGGTATTTAAAAAAAGCACTCACTTCTAATGAAGTTTTCTTGTAAAAAGGAGCTGTCATTTCTGTGATAACTTGACCTGTGACAGTTGAACCAGTAAATGAAATCACAGGAACATCAGGGTGTCTAGCGATGGCAGCGCCTGCCTTGGGTCCAGTGCCCATCACCAA